GATATGCATTTGACTGTATGTTAAAATATTGAGTACAGCCAAAACAATAAAGTGTCAAAGAAACAATATAAAAGTCAAAAAAATCAAAAAAAAAAATCAAATGAACCAATTTGACAAATTCCTCCTTTCTGTTTAAGTCTGATCCACTTTAAATGATTACACATGTTGTACCTGTATTTGGTAAGATGATCCTTGATGTATGACTAATGGAAAGAATCATCGGGGTTTTGTGATGTGATTTGTGTTGGCACATCAACTAGAGAGGGTAGAGTGATAAGTGGAGGAGGTATCCTTCAGACATTTCAGATTGATGACAGTTTCTTACTCTACTGCAACATGTTCTGTCTAAATGTGTCACAGCCCTCGGTGTGTGCAGTTTGTCCCTCATACTGTAACTCAGCTGTTCCCAACCTTTTCCAACTCACAGCCCACTTGAAAATCACATATCGATTCATCATCTTTCTCTCGACTCTTTGACTTTGTTTTAACTCTTCCTGTTGCTAACCAGCTGTCTATTTTGATACTCCAGTATTGGCCATGGATGTAATCTATTAGCATGAAATCAGACTGATAGCGAACAGGTGTATAGGAAGTGGTCCAGTGGTATCAAAATAAAAGTTCCTATCATTGTCTTTTCACAGTGACAGGCCTTAATACGAGATGGAAAAAAAACCATGTAAGAGTTTTAAACATTTTTAATGTTTCCAAAACTATAAAAACATTATGTATGTATATACACGGCTCAGTTCAAATAAAACTTGGAGGGATGAGCTGTTTCAGTAAATTATTGAAAAAAGTTCAAATCTGTTATTGGCACTACAGCGTACAACATTTATTACCCAACACTTTGTCTGCACTTTACAGTTTAGGTTTATTTTTCACTGATTAACCCCAAAATGTGGGTGTATCGCGTTGTCTTACTTAAAACTTCAAACGTGGTTCAACACATTTTTTCCTTTGATTTTCTTTCTCATTATTCACAATGTTCCATTTTTAACAGCACACAGGCAGACAGGACATGACAGCCTCCTCCTTCAAAGTGAAAGTCCTGTTGTCTTTTCACATAAATATACAAGCTTTCATATTTGACTAAAAATAGGAAGGTGACACCATTGTTTAGGACGGCGACAGAGAGTAATGGGATGTCCCAGTAAGGGGGGGGGGATAGATACCGTATGGGCCTGCATAGTTTCAAAGGCAGAGCCCGCGGGGAATCACATGCCTCAGTCACCATATGCTCCATGCAGAGCGTCCCCACCTTCAAACTGAACAGGAGCCCGGAGAGAGACGGGCTGTTTCCATGCAGACAGTAATGTGATAACAATGATGTGACACAAGCTCATCAAAATACTCTGAATTACACAAGATATAATTTCATGTGCAAAATCTGAGGAAACCTGGCAATCATCACCTGTTGTTCTCTTTTAGTTTATTATTTGAATAATTTATGTAATCAAAGGCAGACTCAGCACTAATAGTGTCAAGCTAGACCTTTTGGACACGTAATAAGGTGTTTTTGTGAGAAATTAGGAAAAATTAATCCTCTTAATGGTTTGTATAAATTGGAGCTCCCAGACAAACGTTTTAATCTGTAGGTTGCCAGGTTTGCTATGGAGCCATGTCCCCCCTTTGTTTTTGACCTCATCCAGGACGTTCCTGTCATTATCAAATACGTTTGATATTTTTGTCATTGATGGTCTAATATGAGCCACTGTCATTCTCAGAAATGACGCTGGATGAGATGTGACACCGTCCAACAAAGTCATTTTGTCAAGATTTCTGTATAAAAAAAAAGAAAAAAAGAGGTAAAAACAAGTTTGTGTCCAAAAGGACATTAAGTCTTGACTTCTTGATATTCTGAACTTTAAATGATTAATACTGGATTCAAAACTCCTTTTCAGCACTTTGATGCTGAAATGATGGAGTTTAAAATGATGGATGCCTCTCACTTGTATCCACAGAGGTTTTATAGCATGTCAGCAGAACTCTTCAGCCAGGAATAAGCATTGAGAAATAAATCACATCACTCACATTTGGCAGAAACCTGCTGCTGCTGCTGCTGCTGCTGCTGCTGCTGCTTATCCTTCTTCTTCTTCTCCTTTCTGGGTCTGATACTTTTGAAGTTTTGGGTTCTTCAGGTCACAACCCCCAGTCACTGAAGTCACAGACATTCTGGCCCTTGGATGACCCTTGGACTATTTAACAGTGTTTTGGCAACTGCAAACCCAGTTAAATTCGTAACCGAAGCCAGGATCAAATGCACATGGGCCCAGAGAAGAAGAACAACGATCCATAAATTCTGTTTTGGAGGTGCAACATATCGTAGCCTTTGCTCACTAAGTCCTTTGAGCTGAAGGAACGCTGCTAACAAACCAAGGCCTGAGTCCCTGCCATATCGAGGAGAAAGCTCATCTGTGGAGCCCATGCAGAGTTATGTCCCAGTTCTGTGCTATAAACCTGTTCTAGCTGCAGTTGGTGCATCGACAACTTCAAAACAGATTGTCCAAAATGAGACTTGAGCTGATCACATGTAGGCAGGTTCAAAATCCAGGTGTGACTGAACATTCGATAAACAATCATATTCATTTTCTTCTTTTTCTTGCATTGTTGCCTTCATTCATGAGAGGACAGCATTTAAAAGGTCGACATAAATGGGAAGAATCTTGGGGGCCATTTTTGAAGTATCTGGACTCAACCTGACCACATCTGTATTTATATGTCGGGGCTGAACGATTTTGAAAAAATACCAATACTCGACTGATGTTGCAGTCATGATACGATTTGTGCTGTTAGAGAGAATGATCATTTTTACACAATTATTCTCATTTCCATTGAAAACATATTAAGGTGAATGTGGTGTGATCTGTGCGGGGATCAGTCTGTGGAGTATGATGTGTGGGACGTCTCTGCAGTCCGACATTATATATAAGTTAAAATGGTATTTTGCCTTTGACAAGTGTTGCGCCTCCTACAGTGGGGCTTGGATTTATTGTTGCCCCTCTGTGTATAGGCTGTTTTTTGTTGTTGTTGTTGTTGTTGTTGCTGTTGTTGTTGCTGTTTTTGTTGTTGTTGTTGTTTTTCCATGCGGACAATATGTATTGTTAAGTGTTTGTCTGTCCTTGACACATGGTTAATATCTACTTCTCTAATAATTTATCTACTTAAATCTTACTTGTAGCTCTCTCCCCTGGTGTGTATACGCCTGTGTTTGTGTGTGTATGTTTAGTCGAGTTTTGGAGTATTGATTTTCGTATGGTTTATGTGTTGGTATATAAAAACGTGTCGATAAAAATAATATTGAAAAAAGAAATTTCAAAAGCTTTCCGGGCACTCTTGGGTACAGTAGATGTGTCTGTGCATAACAACCTGGATAAGGTTGTCAAGTTTTTGGAGTTGGACGGCATCAAATAGCCACTGGAATCCTCCTCTGCAGTTTTACAGCCTGTGCTAACCACTACTGATAAATGGTCACCATTTCCCACATATAAAACAAATAAATAAATAAATTTGAGCAGAGAACTGAAATCTGATCACAAGAGGACATATACGTGATTAGACATTCTGATGCCAGATGTGAACAACAGTCCACCCCAGCTGGAGGGATACACAATGTGGATGTACAGTAAGCCACTGATGTAGGCCTGGAGATCAGTGCAGCAGCAGTTTTCTGCTCTGATTCAGTACAGATTTACTCCTTAAAAGTACATTTATCTAAATAAACCTCTGGCCGAGGTGGAATATAGATTGCTGACCAAAGGATTTTAATTTTTAAAGACATAAATATTTATTTGTTCAGTTGATAAAATGGCACTTTTAGGGGGTGGGGTGAGATGGAGGTTCAGGGCCTTTTCTGGTATGTTAGCAGCCTCTGTTGGCCCTGGATGTGTTAGTGCATCCAAGGGGGTCATGAATATTCACGGGTCTACATTACTGACTGCAAGGTACAGACACCTTTTTGCAATGCCAAGGAAAGTGCAGCTGGTTGTTTGACACATTGGGTTCCAACTGACAATAAGACATAAATAGTAAATTATTAATCCTATGCATATCTTACAGTAAACAAGGCTTTAGATATAAGGGGATTGTTAGTTATCAAAACACAAAAATATATATATAAGACCAAATAAGTTATTTGTTTGGGTCCTCAACTACTTATGTTTTAGGTGGATTATCCAGCCAAAACATAGAACAAAACATAGAACAACAACATAGTAACACTCAGCTGAAAATTAGACACTGAAAAAATATAGAAGTCTGAATTGCTTTCATTTGCCAGGAAAACAAAATTGCACACAAACTTGCTGCTGACATGTTACAAGACAGCAGCACACACCCAGACATGGTTCATTAGTTGCATTCTGTCAGCAGACAAAGAAACTGCTGTAAATACTAAAATGCTAAAAATACAAATTCAAAGACTAAAATACTGTTCCTATGCAGCAGCACTGGCACATTAGATGACAACATTGCATGTTCAAAAACAGACAGAAGTGAAAAGTAAAGTAAGTTGATATAATATGGAGAGGTGTGCATAAACAAAATGCACGCAAGTAGGTCAACACATACCTTAAATAGCTCAGCCTGAACAATTAATTCTCAGTGTGTGTGTATACATGTGTGTCTGTTTGTGTGCAGATAACATTTCCCTTGTCACCTGCATTTAAAGCTGCCAGTCATTTAAACCATGAAAGAATGATGTAAACAAAACTGTGAGATGGTTGAATGATGAAGCCATTTCTCAGCTTAAAGCAAAAATGTATGATGAAACTCTTTTGATGTACTGGGTCAAAATTTAATAGGAAAGTAAGGAAATTTAAGAGATTAATTTTAGTTAGCTAAGAACAACAAAATTTGTAATTGAATGTGTAAAACATTGAAAAGAAAAGAAAAGAAAAGAAAAGAAAAGAAAAGAAAAGAAAAGAAAAGAAAAGAAAAGAAAAGGAATTTTATTTTTGAGGCTTTTGTTATGAAAAACACCGGAAGAGCTAATGTTGTAGAGGTTAGCTTGACTGTACACTTTTGGCCATTCCTGTCAAAATGGCTCGTCTACTACCGGTTAAAACTGTCGTTGTTTGTACTGTTTTATTCGTGGTATACACGAATTTTGTATGTTGTAATAACGGCAGAAGGGTAAGTGAAAATGTTACCTATTTTACCCTGACATTTGACTACAGTTTAGCGGAAACTGCATCTGTTAGCTGTTTGATTAGCATTAGCTTTGCGTGATCGGCTAAAGGCTAACGGTAGGTTTTATTTTTTATTCTTAGGTTGGTGATTCCTTGGACACTGAGTTCAGTGGTTTCTCTGTGCCTCTTGAACACTCATTCGAAGTCGGTGAGAAAGTGTTAATGTTTTTTGTGAATGTATTATTATTTTGATGTGTAATACGATGTTGGTAATGCTGGTTAGCTAACCGTGTGCTTACAACGATAACGCCTCATCTGAATGGAGAAAGCCACACACCAAACTCCATTCAGAAATCTGTCAGTTTACATTTTTTGACGTTGGTATGTAAATTCGTTACTCTCTAATATTTACATTTTTGAATGGAGAGTCATCACTTCCATTTTTAGTTATTGCAACCATATAGTCCCTTTTCTATATTTTTTCCAATGAGATGTTGGGAAATTAATACCCAAATAGTCCTGCTGCTGATTTTTCATTGAAAACATGACATTAAATATGTAACTTTGGTTGGTTTGTTATCTTTCTAGTCATTTATTCATGGTGTCTGTCCTGTTCTTCCTATATGTTTTCCTCCTTGTTACAGATGATGTAGCAAAGTTTCGAGGACGAGGAGCACTGGTGTTGAAACCTGGAAGAGAGCCCAGTGTTTCACTAAGTCAGAACCAGCTATCGGAGGAAGACAGAAGTAAACTGAAGGTGAACTATGATCATCAAGTTGAAAGGACGTGGACTGACAAGTACTGTAGCCATATTAGAAAATAGATCATTACATAGACTGCAACAAAGAGTTCATTACAAATTTGCAATTAACAACAAGCTGTTCCTCTAACATGTTTGTTTTGAATTTGGATGACTCCACAGGAAGTGGCTGCAGTGGACGGTCTGTACAGAATCAGGGTGCCTCGTGTTTTCCTGCAGGCAGACAGACAGACAGAGCGGCAGATGGAAGGTTACCTCACAGCGTTTGTCAGAGCCGTATGTATTTCACTTCTCTTAGCCAGCAAATAATCTTCAGGAAAAAAAAACTTTTACTTGAAGTTGCTCAATAATTCTGTTTTAGGGAACTGAGAGAGATGCAACGACAATTCTGTCAGTTTCCTGTTACATTTGTGCCAATAACGGGACAAATTAATGAAATGACAGCTCTCTTGAAGGTCTGTCTGAGTGGGTTTAAACTGATAACGAATGGCCTTGTCTTTTCCAGTACAAAAAAAAGTCTATATGCTGGTTGGTCCAGCGAAAGGGCACTTGTCTCTCGCTTTTTTGATTGCATTCTGATTTGATGCACTGCATTGTTCTTTGTCTGACTTTGAACAAAATGTGTCTAAATGTTTTAATATCAGTAGTACCCATCATTAAATTGACGAAGTTATATAGAAACCTGATTACTTGGTTGTTAAGACAGAAGCACTTTTCTCAACCGGATCCTGTAAAATTTTGTATTGACTGAGAAATTTCATGTAAGAAATATTTTTGAGTATTTTTATTTATGAATTGTTTTTAAATGGTTGTGTTGAATATTAACAAGAGTCTTTGGGCTTCTGATGTCTAATATGTTGTTTTTTTAGCAATTCTTAAAGTCAGCCAATATTTTTGTACATATTCATTGTATTAACATTTAAAAAAAAACAAAAAAAAAAACTATATTACTATATTGTGGGCTATGTGTAGCATGATATCGCCCCCACAAAAAACAAGGAGTAGAATAAAATGTATGTAGATATGTGTGGAATAATAGATAGTTAATTCAGATTAAGGGCTTTTTACAATGAGTGTATTATCAATCATATCCATCATATGATATAAATGTGGGTGATACTAACTGGGTAATACTAGTGTAACTCTAACATGAACCCATATTATCCTCTGATCTTCAGTGTGCCATGGTTGAATCCCATCTGAGTGACGCAATCAGCCTTCATACTGATGTCTCTGGGTATCTCATCGGTGTCTCTATAGTAACAATACCAGGGGCCTGTAGGGGCACTGAGGTTGAGGATGAAGTTGATCTTGAGGTTTTCAACACCACGCTCCGTGTCATGGCACCTGTTAATGCACCTGGGTCAGTCCTATATTATATCTATTTCTATGTTTGTTCATGTTTTTTTCATTTCTCACTTTTGTTTTTGTCTTTTCTGTCTCAACTACTTGATAAATCTACTCTGCTTAGAGTAGCACATTGCTTCCCTCCATATCTGTAGCTGTCTGTGCATCAGTGAAATCCTCTTGTGTATCTGACTGTAGCTTTTTCAGATGCCTTTGATTCAGTTATACTGTATTTGCCTTGGCTTAGCAGCTTCACATAATTTCCCAATAGGTAGAACAAGTCTCTCTGCACTTTTCTGCCTTTCAGATGCACTCTCTATTGTGGGGGTTGTTTGAATACTAATTGCTAACTTTCTTCCAGACCAGAGACGGCTCTGTTCCTTGAACGACTGGAACAGGAATCTGAGAAGAAAGCAAAGAATCCGCAAGAGCAGAAATCCTTCTTCGCTAAATATGTAAGTACTCGTACTGAAACCTGCTGATAAGACCAGCAGGCGCTGCCTAAAGATATACTCTCTTCCTTCAGTAATTGGGCTCTGATAATAGTAATGGCCCATACAGTTAATGAATACATGAAAATGCCTATTTTACTCAATGCTCCATCAGACACTCCACAGCTTTTTCTATGCATGCAGCATGTGTTAAAATATAGAGGGAACATCAGTACTGTGGTGCAAGATTTTTTTTCATCTGTTTCATTTGCCAATATTTGTGTCAGGAAAGTAGGAATCTCTTCTATAGTCACAATGGCTGCACTTTTTTTTTTTGGTTGTTCTCCCTGTTGAGTTCTGTGTTTTGGACTCACTCTACCATGTGCTTCAGGCTTTCAAACCTGCTGTTGGGTCCAACTGGCTCAGAAAAATCGAGTTTGTGTCTACACTGACTTCTTACAAATGAACCAAGAGGAGTAAACATGAAGTCATGTGGCCTGATTGGTAACGAACTGATTGGACAGTTTTGGCGACGGTCATCTTGCATCAGTGGTGCTACAGGGACTATGGGAATTTTAAACTCCAGAAGCTGATGGCGGTTTATGCAGCACCGTGTGTTTGTTTATCTTCTCTGGTGTCGCAGAAGCTCACAAAGTAATAACTGATTATGAGCCTTATTAGCTAAGACTGTAACTGGAACGTGTGTATCATAAAGAGACGAACAGACAGAAACTGGATGGGAGGATAGTTACTCTGTGGTCACTGCGTTTCACTCATTTTAGTCACTTTTTATCAGTGAACTTAGCACGGTTATCGTAGTGCTTGTATAAATATTGGTCATATGTCTTTTATACAAATCAGGAGAATGCTTTGTGAACAGTTTGCGACCAGCAAAGTTTATGTTTGAATTTATGTTAAAATCACGTGTCTAGTCCCACACAAACCTGTGGTTGGTCACCAAAAACAAAAGGCACCAGAGTCCGCCTGGAACCACCTGAATATGGGGGTCTCAGGCCACTTATGTCTGCTCCAGAGTTCAATTGATAGCTGTTACACTAGCCCAAGACCAGAGTTAGCTTTGACCGAAACAAACAAGTCAGGTATGAGAGCACCCAAAGTCATTGTCATGGTTTGATTGCCAGCTCTGTAGTGCCCTGCTTCCCTCTGTGATGCTGTTGCCCTCAATTGAACTAGTCATCCAAGAGTATTCTTCCCACAAAGTTCAGTTTTAAACTTTAGAAACATAAAAATGAGTCATCTCTAACAAACAGTAGAGAGAGTTTGTTTGTCTCCTGACATTTCGACCTGTCAGTTGGAGTAAAACCGTCTCTCCCATGTTTGGAAACAGTCCCACAGAGAGCCTGGGCTCGTGTCCTATCGCTTGGCTCGTCCGAGCTTTTTTATGATCTCTCGGTCTTGTTTTGCACTGTGCTGTGTGTGTGTCTTGCCATGTTCAGTGACCTGTGTTGACTCTGTGCTGTGCTGCATCCAGTGACAGTGTGTTGACTTGGTGCTGTGCTGTGTTCCAGTGGTATTTGATTCTGGGAGGTGCAATCTTCCTCGTGGCCACCAATTCGGCACAGCCCCCAGCAGGGGGAGGCAGAGAGCAGAGCTGATTCCCACTGAAGTACTGTTTTCTTTCTTGTGGCTACTTCTGTCCGCCTTCCTCTAGTGTCTGTTTTGTAATTAACTTCTAAGCAATGTAACTAACTGAAAATCACCCCCTCATTTCCCATTCGTTCCTTCTTTTCCATTCTTTGGTGTTATTTTTCCAGGTTCAATGCCAAATACATTTTAAAGCTCCATTTTTCTGAATTCAAAGTATTTTGAATGAGGAAGTCTCAAAAATAAACCATCAAGAAATCCTAAATCTTAATTGTTGGTGTGAATATGTTCAGCATGTGTTTGGTGTTTGACCCTGAGATTTCTTCTTTATTCTACAGTCTCTCCCCCACTTTTACACTTCACATTTTTTCTCTTCTCTTCTCTTCTGTTCAGAAAATAAATCGAACCTAATCTGGGATGGAACTGTTGAAAAGACACGTCAGTTAAATTTGTTCTCTTGAAAACAAAGATATTGTATTTACTTCCTTTTCCTTTTTTGTTTTGTCTTCTGCAGTGGATGTACATCGTTCCTCTCGTCCTCTTCTTGATGATGTCTGGTGCTCAGGACCAATCAGGAGGAGGAGCCGGGGGTGGAGCAGGCAACGGCGGTGGCCGATGATCAGAACGAAGACAACAGTTTTTGTTTTTGTGAAGATTTACTGAACAATAATTCTCTAGAACAGTTTTTAATTGCTGTACATAATGCTATTTAAGAAAATGTCTGTCACACACCTGAAACCTGTACAGTATAGAGGAGATATTGTGCCCTGCAGATGACTGCATTTTAATACTAATGTGAAAATAAAGTATTTATTACTTGAATACTGGAGATTTTTAGACTCTTGGTTCTCAGCTACATGTTGTGTTTTACTCTGAGGCTCAGATTTAGTTGTAACACCAGTAAAGTAATATGAAATCATAAATAAAATACACGTGCAGGCAGTAGATCTGTATTTACATATAATCAGAACAAAGGTCAATCAATGTATGCCAGATATTGAGCTGCTTACATTTTCTAAAATACTGATTAATCACTGTTTTAGAGTATTCACTCTGATCTGATGCTTATAACAATCTGTCTAAAAAGAAAGAAAGTTAGTGACTCTCGGAAGTATTCAGTATTGAATTTTTAATAAACTTCCAAAAATTTCTGAAACATGTTTTCATTATGTTTTTATGATTATCTGAGAAACAGCAATTTCATAAATTTTAAATTAAATACAATTCAATGTGCAAATAGTGAAATGGTCTGAATACTTTCTGACATCACTAAATGACAATGTAGACAACTTCTGTACATGTGTCATCCAGGACTCCGTAAGATGTACTAAAGTCATCTCTCCTTGGAAGAAACTAAAATAAATAAAAAGTAAAACCATCTACAAAAAGAAATTTATTTTACATTGCAAATGGTTAGAGTTTTTTTAAATGAATACAAAATTAAAGTCAAAGTACAAAAGTATTAATAACAAAATATATTTTAAGGACCAAAAGTAAAGTTGAAGTACTAAGAAAACATCCAATTTCAGATTAATGTACAGTATATTATATTATTGGATTATAACTATTGACCTTTAATGACCAAATGGACTGGTTCCTGACTGGTTTCCCTCACTAACAGCGAAAACCAGAACCAGTTTGGAGTCAGTCTGCCACATTTGAGTTGGAAAGCCTCCGTTCAGCAGTTTAATCCTTTATGATAAAGCCAGGGGTTTACCCCACTGGGATTAGAGCAGTTACTGCTCTCCCCCAAGAAGTGTCGACTGTTGTGAGCTTATTCAGTAACTACTGCTTAAATAAACTTAAATGTATGTACAGAAATAATTGCATGATATCCCTCCCCTTCATTATGTTTCATCTAAATGTTTATATTGACCGACTGTTACCATTGTTGTTAGCATATTATATGTACATATGTGCAATATAAAACAATGACAATTGGTCTCTTGTTTTAAAATGAGTTATTCCAACCTATAAAACATAAATCAGTTTAAAAGGAATAATAGAAATAGTGGAATACATCACAATTTCAGTGGGAAATCTGTTTCTGCATTATTTTCTTTTTTGTATTTTTTTAATTTAGTTTTTTAACATTTTATTTTAGACAGATACTGGTATGATTTAGCTGCAAGGTCAAAGGTAAACACTGAAATTTGAACTGAGGGCTGAGTGGAAGCTACAGTGGAGCTTGCTGGTTATCATGCTAATTTCAGTAAAAAAAGATTAGTGATAAAAATAGAAGCAAAACAAGTGTTAATATTGGCGTTACTTTCCACTGCTGGAGAAAGTTTGATGCTGAACTCATAGCGTTTCTTCTAGCCTGGTTAGTAAATAGCTGTTCGTGCTAACATTGGCTATGTAGCAATAGCAAAAACTTGCATTAGGCATCTTTAACAGACAATTAAAGATGCCTAATGCAAGTTAGGCGACAACCAGTCTGTCTCATCTGACTGGCCTTTTTTGGGGAGCTAATGTGAACATCTGTGTCTTTGCTCCATCACCCTGCACTTATCTGTGTATTTATAATCATGAGTCAGAGGAGGGAGATCAGAGCTTCACAACAACACAGCTTTGGAAACAGAATGTCCCAAAATCTCTGTGTCAACATCGCCTCTCCTCTTCCTTGTGTCAGTCAGTCAGTCTGGCTGTTTTTAGTCCGAGTGTCCAGCTGTGAGCTATATCCTCTTATTTTAAGAGGCTCAGTCACTTCAACACTTCGGTGCCCTGTGCCCTGGGCCTATCATCCAGACCATTCTCAGAATGACCCACCAAATCACACAAACACAAGCCGTCCTTTTCTGTGACTGCTTTTCAATCGCCTCCACCTGCTACCTCGCTGTACAACATGAGGAATAAGGTAGTAACAACAGCTGAGGGAATGAGGAGAGTCTGAATGAAGTGATTCGGACGACAAAAGTCATCCGTTTGTAAAGAGATCTGCTTCTGTCAGGTGGGGGCAGAGGTTAGACTCTGAGAGAGCCTGGTGATCATCTATGTAATATCATCTGAGCAACATGAGCTGTGATTAAACATGTTTTTCCTACCAAGTGTTTCCTACAGAACAATCCAGCTACTGACTCCACTTTAAAACTACACTCTCAGTTATATGTGTGTGAATTTACATTGAGCATAAACACTAATGAATCACGGGAGGCCTATCAGCATGGACTGTGATGTATGTCCATCTACCAGGAAGCTTGGAGACACTGACACTGAGACTCGTGATTGCTGAGATCCTTAGGAGTGGAATTATGTGCTCGCAGTTACATTGAGTCCGCACATTAACATATGTTGCTTTCAACAAGTGCATAACAAATAGGAAAAGGCTAAAATTAACACAAACATAACAAACTTACATCCAAAAACAGATAATAATTCATATTTGGATGACTGATAATTACTAGCACTGCATTTTGAAAGCCCATTATTACAGACAATGGTTAAAGTAACTGGTAGCTTTGTCATTGCCATTGATACTGTAGGTGTACTCCTGGTTTTCATCATCAAATTTTCCACGAAATAAGTCATATATGATCTAAAAGGAAGCAGAGGTCGGTAGAAACTGTAAATCACTTCAGATGTACCGATATATAGAAATTGATTTATTGTTGTTATAGTTCTGTACTGCAATCATGTAGGAGTTAATTGACTAGATATAAGTGCTCACACGGTTTTAACAGCATGAGATGATAAAAGGTAAATAATGTAATTTTATGTAAGGAAAACACGATGGGAGTAAGAGGAGGAGGGGAGGGAGGCAGGGTGAGTGGAGGACAGGAGCTTACATACATGAAACACACTGCCGCTTGCATAGCAGCAGTTACTCATAAATCTCATGGCTCTCTGTCACTTGGAGACCACCAATGTCAGCATGACACCATGTGTTAGGCTGGACACCCCCCCACCCCCCCTTTATGCCATCTCGTGATTTAGGAGGAGTTACAAGGTTTATGTTGCACTGAATCTGCAGGGGGGGCAAGTTGATTTTGGCCTGTCGTTTCCACGTTGTAAATCTGGACACTTTAACCATGTGCTGTTTATTAAGGATTCTCTGCTGTGATCTGCATCTAAAATCTGTATGTCTCCTCCACAGACCCCTGCCAAATAGTCCAAATAGCAAACCGTGTTCAGTTTCTCAGAGCTGCTGTAGGAGAATAATGATCAGCGATGAAAAGTAATAAGTACATTTACCCAAGTACTTTGCTCAAGTACAGTTTTGGGGTTCACTAGATGTATCTTACAGCTTATACATGCTAGTAACATTCAGATTAATATTTTACATTAAAGCATATATAATGAGTTTATACAATATAATCCATTGTTAGGACCAAACCAGTAGTTCCCAACATTTTTCTTTAGTGAACAAGAAAGAAGTGTGTAGATTGGGCTCCTTGTCTTGTTTCAAATGAGTCATTCATTTTCCCTCTAAACCTCTCATATGCTTTAAAGTAAATGTTTGAGGCCCAAAGACGTCAAATTACTTTGTGTTTCTTCTTTCCTCTCTCATTAATCATCTCTTGACCCCTCAGATTTACCATGTGACCCTTTGGAGGGGCCCAAACCCTAGGTTGGGAACCACTGGACTAAACTACCAAACTGTATATAAAGTAGTAAACTCCACCTGGAGCAGCTACAGCAGTAAAATGCTGCTTCCACATTGATGGATCTGTGTTAACAATCTGTTGTGTAATATATAGTAATAATTCAGCCAAACAAGTACTTTTACTTTTGATACTTTAAATATATGCAACTGATAATAATTTTGTACTTAAGTAGGATTTTAAACCCAAGACTTTTACTCGTATTAGTATTTTTATATTGTTGTACTGCTGCTTTTACTGAAGTAAAGGATCTGAACCCTTCTTACACCAATGAATAATTCATATTAGCTGATAAACAACAGTTGTTTCAGAGCCTTCAGTCACTCTGAGGTAAACACACTCCACAGTGTTCATACTGTGAGCCAAATACACGTGGAAAAAAGGGAAGAGAGGCAAGTGAGAGGGAGGAAGCACCTGCCTTGTCAATCAGAGGAAAGCCGAGAAAAATACAAGGGGAAGTCTTGACAGTCCCTGAAAAGCATCCCAGCAGGCCTTCACAGATTACAGCTTTACACTTATTCTACTATCCCCCCCTCCCCTCCCCTGCTCCCAATCATGCCATACATGTCGGCATAGCACCATCATGTTAACGTGTAATGAAGTAACATGATATGGCATTTAATGGCAAGGCTTGGTGGTAATGTACACTGGAATATTGCATAGTGATCACTGAGTATATAGTGTTGTGCATAGCGCCCCCTAAACACACCCATGGGTCATGGTACAATACTATTTAAGCCCACTCACTGACAGCAGTAAGCAGCAGGTGTTGAAATTTGTTTTCATGCCTCACATGGAGCATATCTGGTATTATAGGAACCAGCGCTAAGCGGGTAGTTACACTTAATTAAAATTCTTCTTGTAATAACAGTGAGGCACGTTCTCTTAGTTATTTCCTATTAAGTTGTATCAGTCAAGATGTGGCCAATTAAGGAAACCCTCCAGACCCAGAGGTTCAGCAAAGACAGCTCACACATGATCTACTGCCTAAAGGAGAGACCACTAATTCTCATGATTTGAACGTAATCTGAATCTTTATTGCTTTTCATTTCATTGCTTTTCACATTTATTACAGTCTGTGGTTGCTGATAACAAGAGAAATATGCATTTTAATGCCTTTTAATTTGAACGATTTTGACTACTTACTTGGGTTTTTCCATTTTATGCTACTTTATACTTCAACTCCACTACAATTCGATTCAGATAGAAAAAATACTTTTAACTCCACTACATTTATCTGAAAACTACAGTTGCCAGTTACTTTGCAATTAAGATTTTACATAAACATATGATCAGTGTATAAATTATGCAGTGCTATAGATTTAACAACCAAAGAGTATATAAAGTAGGTACAATAACAGCATCTCTATCACCTAAATGCTACTTACATATTAATGTGCTGATCGAGTGATCTAATAATATAAATCATATAATAATACAAAACACTGAAAGGGGCTTTTTTATGTCTGGAGAGTAATTTTATTTGTGAGTACATTAGTACAATTTTTTGTAAATTTTCTACATTTTGGTGATAATAGTTAATATGATAAGGTGTGAGTAAGACGTGAGTACTTTTCCACCACTGAATCAATTTCACGAACATCATATGATAGTGTGTGTTTTTTTCCAAAAGAGCTGATTTTTCTCCTATTACCTCAAATTCTGGACATGAAATCGCAAAAAAAAAGTTCATTTTCTCAAATTTGCCCCTTTCTTCATCTGAAGCCTCTCACTTTTTGTCATGTTTGCAAATCTTACAGTTTTAGGTTCATACATTTGTTGGACTGTCAATTGGTTCATATTCAATGGTAAGTTCCCAGACAAAGAGATAAATGAAAGGAAGTAACCACAAGTGGAAAACATACTGAGTGGTTTGGCTGAATGACCTATTTCTATTTATCTTGTGCATACAGAATATGGTTCGATATAAATCTTGTTCAGACAAGCTATTAGATCAATCTTCCGTAAACAGGATCCATGTTTTATACCAAAAATGCATCTTCTTTTTAGAATCTTTTTAGCATAATAAAAATTTTGCGCACGCTGTACTGCCTCCTAAATACAGGCAATTGAAGAAGAAAAACCCTTATTTATATATTAAACACTCATCATAACAAAAGATTGCAAAGTGCTTTACAAGACAACATGAAAAACTTCTAATGCAAAAGCATTTATATATACAAGGTAAAGAATAGTGAACCATCAAAAAAACAATGTAAAAGATGAATTAAACTAGTGAAATATTTAATTGCTTTCTAACAAGATTTAAATTTAAGAATGGTTCATCTGAAATGTTTTAATTGTGAGTTTAATGGAACTATTTGTAGGTTTTGCTATTGTTACATATACAGCGTTAGCTTTAACAGCTGTTTACTTACCAGTCTTGCCAAGAGCTTCAGCCATCTTTTGCGTTTTCAAGACAAGACATTATAATACACCCTCTGAGCAGCAGTACGTCTTCAGGGCAGAACGAACACTACAATGACTCGGTATGGGAAAATGACAAGACAGGCGACTGTCTGAAGGTCTAGCTGTAGAGGAAAAGAAGTGGTAGAAATAGAGGCAAAACAAAGAAGTTGCTTTCCACCACTGGAGACAGCCCTTCGTGAGTAAAGGAATAAAGTTTGATGTTAAACTCACAATGTTTCTTCTAGACTGGTAAGTAAACAGCTGTTAATGCTAATGCTATCCATTTAGAAATACAAAACTTACAAACAGCTCCTTTAAAATATGGAAGATAAAGGCCAAAATACAAGGCAGACTTTAAAGCACTCATAACATCTATGCTAAATTAAAATTTGTTACATGAGATGAGACACTGAAAGGAAATGTCAGCAACATCTACTCTCACACACGAGTTACAAGCTGTTACTTATAAGCTCTGGCTGCAGCAGAAGTTCAGTTCACTTTGCCCTAAGTTCTCTGCCAGGGTGCACTCACAGCAGCCACTGATTGATGGGAAGCTGACGACAGCTTCCTAGTGAAGAGCTGACTTTCATCTTAAATACAGACTTCCTTCTCTCTCTGTACAGAAACAAACACCTATAGCTTGTGTCAGGGTCAGTTACAGTTTGACAATTTTAAAATCGGTGGCCCTCCGTCCTTGGGTCAGAGTTCGTCATGTTGCCAAGGCGACAAAACACCCCCCATGTGAATTCAGGGAGCAAAATTTCTAGAAATATTCCAGAGATGTGGGTGTCACATTTGGCCCAAACATGGCAGCAGTATTTTCTTCCTATTTATACTAAAAACTTATATTTTTTTTATATCATATCATATGAGTCTGTCAGATATCTGGGGCATGTACCTCGTGCACATGCTCAGTCCATGTGTATGCAAATGAGCACACATACTTGGGATATATTGGGTATTTGCTTGTCTACATCCATCTGATCCCTAGAAAGGATCAGGAGTTTCATGTGACAGCACTATCCCTTTGGGTAACCCGTTACATCCAACCAAAACCTATGCACATTCCCTCCTCCCTGCTCACTTTACCCCCTCCCCACTCATTTGGAAGTTAATAAAAGAGACCCTCCAGAGATGCACAGGCACTACTGTCACAAGTATCTACGCGTTTGATGCCAAACAGCACCAAGGGAATCATGCCTGTGCCCAAGAAAGCAGGTAAGAAACCCACCTCACCTGAGTCCCTGAGGGGACCTGTGAGGAACATTACACCATGTGGCAAATTAGTCAAAAGCTTCATCTGTTTGTCCTTTATCATTCAAATTCTAATAATCAACATCAGATAAAGTACAGGTAAGTTTTGCTTAAATTTATAATGAAACATAGAAGTTCAAATCTGTAGTGTTCGTAATTTAAGGCTGAATCTTTTGTGATTTTGTGACTCAGATTCTGCATATAGCTTCAAGTAAAATGAATCATGTCCTCCACAGTTGATTGCTCAATACCATGCAGACTCTAAACTCACAGTTAAAGTTCTAATTAGAGTCTTTCCTTGCAGTTTTCTTAACACCTTTTCCTTTGCTTTCTTGCTCATATGCACCTGCAAATCTTATTATTAGCAGGAATTTTTAACATTTAAAATCCTTATTGTTATTTTGTGGTTTATTTTCTTTCTGTTTGAGCAATGTCAACTATAAATTACCAAATTCCCTACATAGATTGCTTCAATAATCATACAGTAACTACAGAACACAGAGATGTACCATGCTGTATTATTTTAGTATTTTTCATCCCATTCAATGTGTCAGAGCTCGAGCAGGTATAGAATTTGATTTATTGCCTGTCAGTGTTATAATGTGTTTAATATGCTGTTTATTGAATGTTGTTAAGTAACCTCATACTGACCACCCCTGTAAGTCAGTGCGGAGCCAAACATTCTTCCTCACCTTGGATTCTGCCAGTTTTCTCTGGTCCATTAATCATGTCAACAAAGGGCATAAAAGAGCCTCTGCCCGGGCAGTTACTGTTTCTTCTGCACTTGTGCTGCCGCTCCCCGAGTTCCCTTCAATGTCAGAGCCTCGTCTGCAGTTTCAGAGCTCACATTTCTGCCTGTCTTTCTCTGTTTCTCTGCCTACGCCACACCTGTCCCAGCATGCTTTCATTGCTTCATTCTCCTCCTCTCACAAATTGCTCCAAATGGAAATCTATTGTGCCCCTCCTGCCTCTTTTGGATAATTCTAATCCATGCTCAGTGTTTCTCATTCCATAATAGCTTCAATAACTCAGACAAACCAAACCCCCCCACCCACCCCTCCCCAAGTGTTGCTAATCCCTCCTCTGGCAGCCACAGTAATGAAGTGTGAAATGCTGCACAGTAATTCAAGTCCCAAAATGTAAAAGCCCATCTCGGTTTTATTTATGGCTGTTTGATTCTGTCATTATGTAACATACGGCGCCCCCCCCCGGCCTCTGCACCCTGACTTCTGCTTAAGGAATAAGCAATATCAAAAGTTTACTTTGTCACTCTAACAGAAAGATAATTGATAATAAATGAATGTGATTAGCTGATGTTGGTTGCATAAAATATAACAACCATGATGGAATAATTTATTTAATGTGGTGGTTCTTTGTAGGAGCCAACAGGAAGATTCATATTTTAGAGATCAGTCCTTTTTTTCTTGTATTAACCCTTCCCAGAGTCCTTCTTCCTTCATCCATCTGCCTCCCCGAGTGTTTTATTGCCTTCCCGTCTCCCGTCTCTCAGATGTGCGCAGGGCTTTCAGCCAGGGAGTCTTGACACTTGACAGGGACCAGAGGGATGAGCCTGGGCCCGTGCCATCGCCGCTCATCTCTCTCCCTGCTTCCTCCTCATCTCACTACTCTCTGATCTTGCTGCCTCAGTGAGATGTTTTGAACCTGATCTGCACAGATAATGTAGCTCTGTCCCACTGAGAGAGGAATGTGTGGAGGGAAAAAGTCTACCTCGCGACCATTCAAGACAAACAGCCTTCACAAAGCATCATGAAGATCCAGCGCTGACCTTTTGGCAGGACCGCTGAGCTCTTCATTCCTTTAAACACGTGCTCAGAAGGATGAAATGTGTTTTGTAGCTTGTCGCTGCTGTGGATCCGTACCAAAATCCAACACACATTTATCTCGCTGAAGATCTTTCACCCTTTTGAAGTTATACTCAAATCCAGCTCAGTTACTTGTCAGTATTTTTTTTTTTTTTTCCCCAATCTCCTCCCGAGAAAAATCAGCTTCATCCATCCGTATTCATCCATTATTCCAACTTGATTCATGAGGTGTCTTTTTTTTTATGGTCCCTCTTCCCCTAAATATTTTTATGCCTCACACCTCAATTTCGCATCCCTCTCCGTCTCCTACATGTCTCTATTGCTGTGATTTCAAGTCATCAATCTTTTTGAGTACCTGTTTATCTCTGCGGGGCTTTCCTGCTGATCCCGCTGAGCGTGGAAAGGCATCCGTGGGAATTTAACCTCCAGCAGGCCCGTCTCCAGTCACCCAACTCGCTCACTGCCAGCCTGATGTCTCACTCCACGGTTACAGACGTGTTGTAACATCTTATAGATTTGAAGATGAATTTATTTACGGCGTATCATTTCTCCAGACGCCTTCTACGTCTTCTAATCTCTCCTCAGTAATTCCTGTTAATGCCTTGATGAACCCAGCATGAGGCTTTTCTTTCATCATGCCCCTCATCTCACCTGCTGTGGTCCTTTAATCAGGAAGAAGTGTGGGGGGTGGGGGGGGGTAGATGAAGTTATCTGTCATCGGCGTCTTTCTGCTCCACCAATTTCAAATGACCGACCTTCACTCTGTCACCCCTCCGACCTGCCAAATCTCTCCTCCTCTATCCATCTGCCGTTCGACATTATGAACTGTATATGCACTGACTGTGGCACTGAGTGAAGACATGTGGCCAAAATCCACACTCAAATCTGGTCTGTTACTGGATCCTAAGCCTCAGTAGGGTCCAATTAATATTTCTGCATGCCCAAGCAATTATCAAATTTTCTGGTCTTAGTGGCTTTGGTTAAGTAATTGTCTTCCACATTATAGTCTCCTCCATAACAGTAACACTGCGTAGGCTTTAAAGGAGGAGCAGTGGATTGTTGCCTTTGTCCGACTCACCCTCTGGAAACCCCACAACCCTTCTCAACTCATTAGCCGCACGTAAAAGAACTGCAGGCCGACAGGATTCAGAGAGAGCAACGCCGACCCCTGAATCACATCCACTGTTCGCAGATTTCCATTTGTCCTCCCCCCCGCCCGGGTTGTCATCCTGCCAGCGTCTTCCCCAGCTGAGGGTCATGCAAGGTGGAGGGGTTATGTTTCCTCGGGCTCAGAGATGTATAGACCACCCCAACTGAAAGCACTGACTCTCACCCTCAAGCACATGGCCAGCGCTGCAGGGATCAACACAACAACAGTCACCTTAAAAAAAAAAAAAAAAAAGCAAAGATAAAAATGATAAAAAACAAAACCAAAAGACACAAATTGGAGGGCACATTATCACCTCTTGTATTACAAATGCAACAATGGCTTCCACCTGCTCCCGGCAAGAAACCTCTCAAAAAACGTACAAATAGCCCCTTTAAGTACACATTTGAGGTACCTGTACTTTTCTTGAGTATTTCCATTTATGCTATTTCACTGAAATTCAGAGGACAATACTGTTCTTCACTACATTATTTTGACAATTAGTTACAGGTAACTTGACCAATTAAGACTTAATTATACAATATATGATGATCTTATAAAATATGATGCATTGTTAAAGATAAAACTGTCCAATAGTATGTACAATTGTTCAAATTAGCTGCAACAGAACTTTTAACTTTGAGTACATTTTGCCAATCAGTAACACTTACAGTACTTTTACTCACATAACATTTCCAATAAATTCCAACATGTAACTGACTATTTTTACAGTGAATTAGTGCTACGGACAACTTTAGTAAGGGATCTGACTAATTCCTCCACCACTACTTATTTTGAGATTTGTTTTGGTGTTTTATAAGAAAAATAATTTCCTCTACTTTGGTGATGTAAATTCAACAGGCACTTTAACACCTCTTTCCAGACTTAAACCTGATTACCAGACAAATCATGTAAACTTAGGATTTTGGGATATTACATTCCTGCAACATGTAGCTGCTTTTGACTGAATTGTTACCCATATAATAATACTAATGTGGCTTTTCACAGTAATGTAAATGGTATATAGCTGTGGCTAAAGATAAACAAATCATATGGTTTTTAAAAATCTAAACATTTCAAATGTAATTTCTTTTTGTGTAGAAAGGTGCATTGACACATGCAGTGAAAAGCTGTATCTGGTGGTATTTTACCCTGATATAATCTGCTTGTATTCTGCCAAAACTGTAGATACCAGATCACTAGAAAATCTTTCACTAGAAGCAGCAACATCCTGGTTTAAGATTAAGCACTGTGAATAATAAAGCAGATATTCAGTTGCTGCAAAAACAACCCTAAGTCAAGATGCTGTTCTGCATATTTATTTTTATTTTATTTTAAATTGTAATGAGTAAAGTTCAACTGAACTTTGAAGTACCGCAACTGAACAACATAGAAATGTGTATGTAGAATATTTCCATTGGATGAAGTAGTGTAGTCATAAAAAGTGGCATCTTGGGTTTAAATATTCCATTTAATTTAAGGTTATATTTATATTTCTCTGTAATGAGTGTTGGAACAAGCTAATACAGAATATATGTGTGATATTTTCACACAGTGAGGGAGAAATGCTATTTTTAAAATTATCTTTGAAAAAGTATGAGAAAAACTGGAGGGTTAGGTTAAGTATTAGCAAATATGTAGAGAAATCCTGTTCCCAAGCTCACTAATGCATTTACTTCACAGCCATGAGCTATAAATCGCAGTTAGAAGCCGCCTTATATGGAACCAGAGGAAAATTGAGGCTGTTCTGTCTAATTTTGGCAAGAGCAAAGCACACACAAATCAAGCTAATGTGGTGATGTAACTGTCTGATAGGTGAGTAAGAATGATGAGGGGTTAGTTGTCGGTGTGAAATCTGAGAGACGGTAACATGAGCGTGGATGACCTACGCAGAGGTGGTGACGGATGATGACCAGACCGGCCGGTACTAGTTTTCTCCGAATGTCAGAAGACACAGAGTGACTCACAGACTGGAGGAGGAACAAACGAACAGAGATTACACGCCAGCCCACAACATGACAAACATGCCCTGGGCAGTGTGAAGTAACAGCATCATACAGAAAGTGTATTCTTAGACTGAGACTCCTGCTGTCAGTGGCCGTGATGTGTGTCCTTAACAAATGTATGTCCGGGCCTCCAGATTCCTTATGTTGAAACCTAAACCTTGAGCAGCATGGGGACAATTCATGAATCAACGCTGAGCCAACATTGCGCGCATACCCCTCTGTGATCGACTGTATGTTGAGAGCAGCCACAGGTGATTTACTGTTGATGAATGGCAGCCTGACAGAAGCACTGATGAAGGGAGAGGCTACGGAGAAAGATGAGAGGGTTTGAAGTAGCTGGCTGGAGTTTACTTGTCAGTGCCATCCCGACTAGTGTTGTGCATTTCATTTTATACAAGACATTGCAAGAGGAATATCTGCGGAGAGTCCATAAAACATATTCTATGTACAGTATCTATTTGTCACAGACACAAGCTGTGGTAAATGTTGGCACAATAACACACTGACTCTTTTCTTTTCCAGGAAGAAAAAACAGTGCTGCTGCAGAAGGTAAAGATTAACATTAAGTATTGCTGTTCTCTTCGTAAATCACCAAAGGATAATGAGATAAATTCATTAAATTAAATGCATGGTGTCAGGAAAATTTGACTATGCACCCCCTCTAATTCTCCTGTTATCTCTGTCTATGTTTGTCACCTCAGAAAAGCTGCCGCCATATGAGCCAAATATCCCTGAACCAACCACCAGGGCTGACTTCATGAAATGTGAGGCTTTAGTTTAATGTAAAAGAAAACCGGCTTTACCACTATCTATTGCCAGTTAATGCCACACAGTATTAATTCAAGATACTTATGAAAACTGGTGCACTAAGGTATGGTGTCTTAGGTGTGCCAAAGTTTATTAAGTCATAATAAAATTAAAATGCATTAGAACTACACTATTAATTATTTTATTTTAGTGAAAAAAAATCCAATTCCACTGAGCAATAAATCATGAATTTTTTTTTTTATTTATTCTAAACACAAGAAAGAAGAATAAAAACAATAGTAAACCACAATCTGCACTGATTATTACTAAACTACTGGAGTGCAAAACATCCGACCAGTGACTGCTTATACAAAAGCAAAACAAAATGTTGTGGATTATCACTTTAATTTCTTCCTTTTGCACGTGAACGAGATGCTGGATTTCCCATTTGTAAGTGCAGATATTTGTACCAGCAGGAAATATATTGAGCTATCTCAACTTCTTTGATCGGTGTGCTCAAATTCAACCTAAAAACAACAACTGTTAACCATTGGACTTACATGACCAAAACAGAGTTATGTCGAGACAATGAATATTGTTCTTTATTTCATTTTTCTTTTCTTTTCTTTGTCCTCTCTGCTGGCCATGTCTCAGATCTTTGTTTCTGTCTCAATGTCATCTGACCTGTTTCTGCCTCTTCACCTTTAGTTTCCCCCTCTCTCTCTCTCTCTCTCTCTCTCTCTCTCTCCCACAATACCCCCAGATTGGTTCAAACTCTCTCTGGATGATAAAACTGCGCAGAAACTGTTGTGGATTTCAGAGGGTGGGTCTAAAGTGGCTCGTACATCTGATGCAGTCTGCCCATATCCAAACAGGCCTGAGAGATATGAACACTCACCACAGGTAGGCCTGAACGTGGGAAACAGCCAGAGTTTAGTGCTTAATCTCACCTGCAGCCCCGAGAAGGACTTTCCTTTTCTGTAAACCTTCACAAGAGAAAAAGGTTGAGAACCACTGGTTTAATCTTTAACAGGATGTAACATAAAATCTTGTAAAATCTTGCTCTGAAAAGAAACTAGTAGCCTAACTACAGATGTGAAAGAAGTGTAGTATAATACTTCCCTTATGAAATATGGTGCAGTAGAAGTATAAAGTCTCATAAAATGGAAATACTTAAGTAAACAGAGTGGTTGAGTAAATGTACATTGTTGCTTTCCACCTCTGGTCTCCCTATAAGTACTTTGGGGGATTCTGGGTGGTTTCCTGCAGTTATTTAAGAATTCACTCCTTAAGAACAGCATTACATCACAGTGCAGTTATTTGGTGCAAATGACAATGCATTATCAAAAATGTTCTCATTATTTTAGTGATTCCTCTTTTCTTCTATGAAATATCAGAAAACTCTGAATTACAATTTGCCAATCTAGTTAAAGTCTTGTTTTGTCAAAAAAACTAAGAAATTCCTTTTACCATCACATGTAACATGGAAAAGCAACATACCCAAACATTTTAGAAGCTTGGACCCATAAACTCTTTGGCATATTTTGACAACTAATACTTTGAACAATTAATTTAGAATCAAAATAGCTGTTTGATGATAATTTTGTCAATCAACTAATGGTTTCTGCTTTAATTCTGACACTGGTCTTGTGTAGTTTTGGACTGTGGCTCACCTCACTACCTCTCTGCTTTAGGTGCTGTGTAAGGAGGGTCTGCTGGGCTATCGAGGGTACTGGGAGGTGGACTACGACGGCTGGGTGGTGATTGGGGTGGTCTGTGAGAGCGCACCCCGGAAGGGCCAGGACGGGCCCTGCGGCCTCGGGGAGAACAACACCTCCTGGGGCGTCGGTTGGTCTGGCTCCTGCTACCAGGTCTGGCACAACAGTGAGAACGTGGACGTCCAGCTCCCCCGGTCCTCCTCCATGGGCGTCTACGTCGACCAGCCCGCCGGCATCATCAAGTTCCTCTTGGTGGAGGGAGAGGACGAGAAGGAGGTGCGGCTGATTCACAAGTTCAAAGCCAACGTCCAGGAGAAGATTCTCCCCGGGTTCTGGGTCGGCACAAATTCATACTGTCTTCTTCGGAAAAAGGATCAGTGACAAATTAAGAGGGTTTAACCTGCGGGGGGGGTGGGGGGGTCAGGTAGTGTAAATTTAAGTTGGAAAGCTTGTGATGTTTGGGGAACAAGTGTCAGAGTTGTAGAGCAGAACCGAAGCACATGACATCTTTACAGATTGTGCTTGTTTTCTCTGGTGCATGAACAAAGCTTATTGATTTCATATTATATCCAAAGATGCTCTGTTATTTTATTAACTACTGAGTGTATATTTATGTATTGTATTCAATGTAGAAAATAGGCAAAGTTGTGTATGTTTATATTACACAGGGCTTTGCATGTACTTGAGTGCTTGTTTAACTTTAGAGCCAATATATTTTTTATGTGGTGCATGTAGTCAATAAATTCCTAACTATTGTGTTTAATAACATGGACACCGCATTACTTTTGTATGATGCTGCACATTAGCTCATTTTCTTCACTTGCACAGTAGAGCGCTGAGGTCCTCTAGAGGATTTCAATAATATTGCACATAATCATATGACACATCTTCTCTCTCTTTCTCTCTCTCTCTCTTGGTGTTGCTCCTTTATTTGAAACATAAAAGTACTTAACGGAACATTTATTTGTTTTCGTCAGAGATGGACATTTGTTCCTTTTAAATCAACCCATCTCTCTCTTTCTCTCTCACACACGCAGTCACTTTCTCATTCATTCAGTCACTTCAACATATTTGGAGCCAAAAACAAAAAAAAAAAAAAAACAATACCATCCCCAATAACCCAGTATTGATTTACAATCATTCTATCAGTCAGTCATTCATTGGCAAAAGTAAAAGTACAAATAGGCATGTTATGAGGAGGTGCTGGTGTCCTCCGCTCACATTTTTGAAAAGCCACAAGCTTCACGTTAAGTCAGACATTTCTCTTGTTTCTACCCCTTTTTAAAGGAATAGATTGTCCAATCCTAATGTAGTGTTTGGGGGGGGGGGGGGTGTGTAGTCGCTAGTATTGTGAAATGTGTAGTGACGTGGCGGGGGTGGAGGCGGGGACTGGGGCAGGGGGTAGTGTTGAAAATGTTACTAGTGTTCATGACAACATTTTTTTCTGCAGTTACTCCTCGAAGCATGTGCCGTTAATTTTGGTTAGTGAGAAATAAATGGAGGTACTAGCTTTTACACCGTTTCACATACTGTACGTCACACATCAGCCAGTCCAGGTCCCCCTCCCGTCAGGACGACACCTCCCCGCGTTTCCTTTATCGCTCTAACTTGCTCCCTCTATCCCTTTCTCTCTCTCTTCTCTCTGCTCTCCTCACTCTCTCTCTCAGTGCTTGAGGGAGAAGTCCCCTGTGTTGAGGCGGGGCCGAGGCAGGGCCCCAAACATTTCCGTCCCGTCAGTGGCTCCGGGGGCCAGCAGGGCTTTCATACTGGCAGCGATGTGCTCCAGGTCAGCACAGCCCACCTGAAGGGACAAACACACAGAGGGACTGATATGTTAATGAGGCACATTAGGATCTGGACATAAATGAGGAAAACTCAAATTCCTGTCGTTCGCTCACTCACAAAATAGTGTTTGACATTGTGACATGTTACATGTAAAATGTTTCCCCAGCGTGACCTCACACAAATGTCACACACACTTTTACGGTCACATGGACTGATGGAGCTGAGAAGTGAATCGTTTCTTTGTCCTGCTCTTTAGACAGCATGAAATATGTCAACATCAACTGACAACATGAAAACAAGAAACAGCAGCTTGCTTAATTATCAGGACTTTCATTATCATTCGTTATTTACTTCACTGGAAATCTGTTTCTGCATTTCATATGCATTAAGCTGAAGGAAACAGGATTTGTATTTTATATGCTGGAGATTTTCTATGGTTAATCTTAAATTAACTTGTTTATTTGATGGGAAAAAACATTCAGTCACTCTTGTCATGGGGATGACACAGCGGCAGATTTCCAATCATCCATTTTGTTTTCAAATTGATTGGAGATGTCACTGTCACAGATATGATAATAAATATCTTGATATTAAAACATTTATAACACTTTTAGACCAAATTTACGATTTCCTTACTGATCTGAATCAGAGAAGGTTTCTGCAGAGTTCACCAAGTTAAATTTAAGACTTTTATAAATCCATTTACAGATACAGCACGGACAGATAAACACCAGATCGTGTTCCCATAATTATTGAATTACAGGCCAGAACAAACTGACTGATTGACGGAGCAGTTATAAGCTTAGGCAGTTCTCATAAAGGTGCAGCAGAGGCCTGTATTATTATTATAAGTCTGGCTCTCTGTGAGTTTCCTGACTTCACACCGGATATCCTGGATAACTTGGATCATGAAGCTGGTCATAAACTGGCTCAGTTAATCGTGGGTTTACTAATCCAGCTACAAGCAAGTGGAGTGTTTATTATGACATGAGATGAATCAGTGATATTCAGTAATTAAAATCCATACCATAAAATTAGGCAGCTAGAACAGGATGAGAAGATCTGGAAACACTCGCAGTAATATAAAAATATTTAAAAATAAAGCTAAAACTATAAACAAGTATGGAGATTATTATACAGGCCTTTTTAAAGACAGTTGCCATTTTCATTAAGGTGAGTCAATAGTGAGTAAAAATGAATGTGTAATTCAAGAGGATACACACACACACATACACACACACACACTCATTTATTTTCTACTTTGACATTTGTCCTTTTTTGTCTCATAACCCAAGCTCTTTGCTTGCGGTCGAACCACAGTGGTTTGGGCCAATCGGTGTCCTATGAGGGCGGCACTACTGGCAGCTTCATAGAAGCAACTGTTTTGGTATTTGTGCCCTTTATGCACAATTTTTCTTTACAAAGACCACAAGAACTAGTTTTGCGTTTCCTCTTCGACCCTCTCCTACTGCGTCATATGAGAGACAGATGATTCATCCAATCACCAAGTATTTTCTTGAAAGTGTCTGTCCTTTTGCAAATAGATTCCAACAAAGCCTTACCAGATGCTTCTGTGTAACAAACCATCTGGTGCACCAGGTCATCTCACAAGGATACAGATGAAACTATGAAATTGAATGAAACTATACGCAATTGATGCACTTAAAACAGTTTAAAGTAAGGTAAGACTGTTTGTGCTGCCAAGGCAGGGAGAAAAAGGCAAAGGCCTAACCAAAACAAGCTAAAGGGACAGCTCAGGTTATTTGACGAGGGGGTTGTGTGAGGTTGTCATGCATAGCTGGTGTGTTACCTAAAGGAGATTCAGATCAGCTCGCTGCCGGTTAAGAGAGGCAGCAGGAAACACCGCCACACTAGCAGAGAGATGTGCTACTGTGCACGGGGTTTTAGACACTTTTAAAAGACGCCCACTGGAACAGTTCCTGTAGAATATTTTCAGTGGTTCATCTTCCCGTCAAAACAGGTACTACATTTTGCTGGGCATCTTTTAAAAGTGTCACAGTAGCACATCGCTCTACTAGTGTGTTTCCTGCTGGCTCTCCTAACCAGCAGCGCGTTGAATCTACTGCAGGTGAGACACCGACTCTGCATGACTACCTCATACAACCCCACGTCTAATAACCCCAACTATCCCTTTAATGTCTGATAAAACTGACCAAAGTGTTGCATTTATAATGAGTGTGGATTATTGTTCAATTAAAATGTGAAGGTGAGTACACTTTTTATTTTGAACTCTCATCTCATTGAGTCTAAAAAGATTTAATTCTCATTAAAGTCTCGTCATTTTATCAGGATTCCATTGTTGAAGTGGTAAATTATCTGTTGTGGGACATGTTTTCAACTCCCTCTGTCTCTGATATAATTATCACAGGCAAAATGACTCTCTGATCTATAAAAATGTTGCTCTTTGATCTTCATTACTATCAGTTCACTGTAAATTCAGTACTTTTGTCTCTATTGCAAAAAAAAATAACGGTTAAATAAATCCTGCAGGAATGATTGATGGATGATGACTCCAGTTTTTCAGTGGCGATCTCCCCGGTTACAAACTTAAGCCAGCCTCATGCTATCAGAAAGCAACGATTTAAAACCAGAGATAGCTGGCTAAGCCACTAATCTCGCTCTGTGATACAGGATCCAGAACGCTTTAATCCCAGCATGCAAACCAGCAGCTTTGTCCTTTTGTAAAACAATACTGTGTGGGCTCACCCGCTCTCCACTGTTGCTCTCTCCCTGAGCAGCTCGGCTTCCTCTGCAGCCCCACACGGGCACAGACACGGGCAGCGAGCGGGCCAGAGCCATGGGGTGGGCGTGACGGGATGAGTACGCAGACTGACCCATAGCCATGCCACGAGATGGAGGAGGAGCATCCTCACTCAAAGAGCCTAAGATAAAAATAGAAAAAAATCAATGTAGATAATGCACACATATGGATATATAGACTCAGGATACCAAACTCATACCATCAGTGCTCTCCTCCTCCCCATCAGATTCAAAAAACGGCTCACAGTCCCGAGACAGTGAGTCCTCGTCCATCGAGAAGACACCTGAAGCAGGATGATGATGTAAATCCTCAGAATCGATGAAAATCAAAGTATTTAAAGAGACAGATAAACTGTATCACTCCTCACCAGCACTTTCATTCCCATAGGGTCTCCTCTCATCCATGTCCTCCTCCTCTTCCTCATCTTCACATTCTTCTTCCAAATCCACAATCCCAGACCTCTGTCTCCCTCGCTCAGCCTCCAGCACACTCTTCTCTCTCTCCCTCTCTCCATTACCATTCTGCCCGCCGCCCTGCCCGGTAACAGCTCCTGAGCTGTAAATCGACGGGTAGCTTTGGGAGTAGAGTCTGCCATTGGGACTGACTCCACCCACCCCACTGTCTCCCGTGAAGTTCTGTAACAACAAGAGAACAACATTATGGATGTGAACATTTTGGAAAAAGTACCACAGTGGAGTACCCAGCACAAGCAGGCTACTCACCCCCCTGTGTCCAGGGTCAGAGGTCAGGTCAACCATCAGCTTGGTTCCTCCCTCCCCTCCAGCCTGGCGTGTGTGCTTTTGGGCTGTTAGCATGGTTGTGGAGTGCAGCACGCCAATGTCGTCCATGTAGCGGCGCGCCGACTCGGCCAGAAACCCTTGACCCCAAACGCTGTAGGAGAAATCGCACTCCCTCGGAAAGGCACTGCTGCTCTCCCGCTTCCTCAACCCATCTCCTTCTCCAGCTGACAACCGGAACTTCTTACAGGCTGTAAGTATGGCCAGGTCGCAGCCTGACTTTTGGCAATACGTTTCCGCAGCAGAAAGTAGCGCCAGCCAACTCTCTTTGTGGTTGTCTGGGATCTCAGGCTCGGACGACTGGGTGATGGAGGCCATAATGGTGCTAAGTGCTGTTTACAGCTTTCTTCAATGAACTGACTTGAAGAGAGCAATGCTGATGAATGATGAATGAAGAGTTTTGAGAGTTAGACTAAACAGAAGCTTGGATATGGTTGATTCTGAGGGCATCGAACTCAATAAAGGAGAGTTAAAAGTTAACAGTTACAGTTAACTTTTAAAGATGGTTAACTTTGGTAGCTGTGGTGCTTCTGACTTTGCCCAAACGGTTGAAAACTCACTTGAGTTTTGTTTCTTCTGTCTTGCTGGTGTTCTGTTAATTTTTGCACTGGTGAAGATGCAGGGGAAAATAATCTATCAGGTAGAGAGGCACTAGGTGACTTTAAGATATGATATGATATGATATATATATGAGTGTGTGTATAAATAGTGGGCGGTGTCCTTACACACTGGAGAGCCAGGGGAGAGAAAAGATGTTGCCAAGTTGCTGGTGATACCTGATGAAATACAAACATAAAAGAGGGACAAGGTTTGAAATAAGACTTAATAAATGAAAAAAATGAAATAAAAATGAATAAAAACTATTCATTTACCTTCTGTGGGTTTGAGTTACGGATTACAAGAGCGATTGCATGCTGTCAGTTATGTGCAATTCAACACATAAACACAACCTATAGGAGCTAATCTGTCCTGACTGTCGCAGCCCCCACCACCTCTTTGAGCTGCATGTCACCGACCAATGCTAACTACTGTAGCTACTGTAGCTTTGTAATGACCCCGCTCTCTATTGAACTCCCCTTGTTGCCATTTTTGCAGTCTTTTCTGCCCCAGTTTAAACTGCATGCTATGGACTTTTCTGCGCGGTTGCTGCCGCCGCTGCTGCAGCAGCAGCTGCTGTTGTTGTTGATCTTGTTGTTTATTCAGCGCTGTGTGCAACCACTTCATGACGGACCCACATTTCACCACCATTTTCAGGCTTTAGCAGGAGCCGAGACGCGCAAGTATAAATTACAGAAACTTGGGAAGACGTTCACCTACCTGTTCAGTTTCTTTCTTCCGTGTTACCAGATGTTTATCGATCTTAAACTTTACTTCTTTTATATCAGACGTATTCTACCTTCTCCCACGGTTTCTCTCCCCTTGCTAGGCTCTGCACCACCAGCAAGCTAGCAAGCACTAATATAAGCGTTTCCGGTTATGAATTTCAAAATACGTGTCGATGAACAGGCGTTTTTTTATTCTACCACGTTTATTTGACAGCTATAACAATAATAATGACTTTATACATAGCTTTATACATTGCTCTTTATTTTGTAAACGACTTCACTTACAGTCGTTTACAAAGACATGATAGCAAAAAGCATTACCAAATAATTGTAAATAAAAGTAAGCTATAGTTACAGTTACTTTACTATGATACATAGAAAACATACTGTAAAATGATCTTGAAATATTATGCAGTCTCATCAATCAAACTACCAAACAGTAAAAAGGTCAATTACATCAGAATTTTAATATAACTTGATAATAATGAGGATTGCATTATGATAATATTGGTTACTGAAAGTTTAAGATAAGACTTTATTAATCCCAAAGGGACAATCCAGAGGCTACCAAATATGAAGTCATTAACATTTGCTCCCACTTTTATTTAAGCAAAATTTTGAATGCATGATTTTTACGTATAAGTATAATATAAGTAATTCTACAATGCGATATTTGTGCTTGATTCAAAAATCTGAGTACTTCTTCCACCACTTTTATCGGTTGAATATATATTATTCATCTACAATCAATATCATTAAGGATCCTCTTTGATCATAAGAGGATGTGTAGAGAGTGAAGTCACGTTTATTTTTAGTTTAATTTCTGTGGAAGTGTAATGCATTCACTTAAATAAATTTTTTTCTTAATGAACAAGATAATTATGTTGTTAATTCAGAAGAAAATGATTTTATTTATTTTAAAAAATAAAACAAAATAAACTTCCTGCTCTGCAAAAAAAAAAAAAAAGAGCAGATTTTTTTTTCCTTAAGTGAATGCATTACGTTTCCGTAGCAATAACTAGTCGATGCTTTTAATTTGAAAGCTAGACTGGTCACATCCGGCTTTGTTTCAGTCTCTTAGCTCAACTTGGCGTAACTCTGACGTCACCTGTTTACTGCCTTCCAATCGAACGCACGTTGTACACGTGACCGACCACTGTGGGCGGGCTCGTACTCGTCTTGTTCTCGTGCACGTGTACAGCCCACCAACTCCTCCTCACATTCGTCAAAAGACCCACCAGCTGCTTGCAGGTATCATGACTACAGTTGTTTAAATAAAGTCTTAATGTGAAAGTAAAACAGTCACTGCAGCTGTTAGGTTAATGTAGCTGAGTAAAAAACTACTGTGTTCTGTAGGGTAGAAATACTGAAGTATCAATAATGGTGTTCATAGTAACGTTGGTTCTAATGTTAACAATAAATGTGTTGATTACATACATGCAATATTGTAGCCTGCACTGTGCAATTGATTTCAGTAAACAGCCTTGCAATAACCAAAGTGAACTACTAACTCATTTGCTTTATTTTGAGACGAGCACATTATCTATAGGCATGGATGGAGTATTGCATGGACCCAGGGGCCCGAGGTCAGCAAGGGACCCCCTGGGCCAGAGCATCTGTATTAGGTAACTATCAATACTTCTTGTTTGAAAGTCACAGAGCTCAGTTAAAAGGCAAAAAACAACCACAAAATTCAGAACAGCTACAAAGAGACTCAAAATGACCACAAAGAGAAGAAACATTATCCCAAAGAGAGGTAAAACAACCACAAAGAGACACAAAACAACTACAATGAGACACAGAATAACCACAAAGAAACATTAAATGACTACAATGAGACAAAATGACCACAAAGAGACGTAAAACAATCCCTAAGAGGAGGAAAACGACTACAAAGAGACAAGCCCGTAAACCAGACCAAGCCGCAAGCTCGTGTTTATTCGCATTCGCAGATGGGTCTGACTACCTCTCCCATTGAGAAAGATTTCCATCTGTCCTGAGTCAACAATAAGTTTTTTTTGTTGATTTGGGGTTTTCTGGACTCATTCCTGCAGCACTCTATATAAAAGAGAAAAGGAGTGACAGAGAAAGTGCACACATAAACAATTGTGCATTAAGTATTGATGGCCGGCAAAGTTGAAACCAAACCTTCGCCTGGCAGTACCAACATTATTAAGTACAATAATTTTTAGTGTCATTATTACAACTAAAAATGGCAACCAGTTTTGATGAAAAAACTGTCGATCTGTGTGGACTTGCGTGCTCAGTGGTCACAGTGGAGAATTGCAACTCTATATTAAATTCATGGCTAATCGTGTGGCAGTGAACAGAATATTAGAAAAACAGGCTCTTTTTTAATTTACTTTGAAGGTTTTCATGAGAAATGTTACTGTTGCAGTTTCTACCTTGACAGAGGTGCCTATTTATACCTATTGCCTATTTATGCATCCACCAGATAGGAGCAACATTAGCATTCTTAGGAGTGGTGTCTCTGGCTAGGCCCAGTTTATACCTCTTATGTATTAAATTCATGTCACAGTGGTAACCATTGGTGTCTCAAAAAACAATTAACCAGTGATGTTTGAAAAAGCCAGGCAGTCATTCAAAAACACTTCCTGTTTCTCTGAAAGATATTCCTGAGACTCTTCCAGCTATCTGGATAAACAAGTATTACTTCCCCTGAATGATAAAAAAAAAAGATTTTTAACTTGTTTCTTGTTGCTACATACTCAACTATCTTCACCAATCAGCTGCAAACTTTGCTTGCTTGTTTTTGTTTTTATAAAATATTGATTATAATGACTTTAATTCAAGTGCAATTTACTAGCATGATTATTAAATATAACGAGTAATCAGCAGTGGTAGTTAGTCTTTTAATTATGTATACGTTGACTGAGCGTTCACTGCCCTCCACTGGTCACAGTAAGGAACTTCATCAAAAAAAACATGTCAGCATTTTCACAATAATATTACATAATATTACAATAATAAAATTACGGAAAACAGTACTACTATCTGACACGAAGTGTGCCAGAGTGTCTTTGATTGTCGTATTATGGCGTTAAAAAATACATAAACCAAAGCACATATACTACGATATGATTGGCTCGCTCTCCATATGGCGTCTCCTCGGGGGGAGGTGCTTACCGTAAGCAGGAAGTGTGACGTAACATTTGTTTTGGAAGAACGAAGCAGTGACACCAGCGACGGAAGAATGGAGCAAAACGTTGAAGATTACAAGGTATTGCCCACTTTTTACAATAATTTACCGACAGTATTTGAATTTTTGAATGGTGATAACTTTCTCCACATTTCGTTTGTGGTATTTTGTGTGGAACTACTTGAGCTTGTCAGTGGTAGCTGACGTTAACACTTCAAGCTAGCTGTCGTTTCTCTACGGTTGCCTATAGTGTGAACTCGTAAAAATAAATCTGACAGTTACATGTTGTCATCTGGCTGATATGTAAAATGTCGGACTCTGTTGTATAGCTAGCCAGTAGCTGTGTGTACAACCATACAGATACGATAGTTTGCTAACTATGTCAGTCAATACTAGTTCATCATAGCAGAGTCTACTAAGTTTTTCTATTGTTTCTGGCCGAGTAACCTGATAGACCACACACGCTGAAATCATGTGATGTCTCTGTCATTTAATAGCTCTGTTGTGTAACCTGATTTATCTGCCATAACTAAGAGTTACTCTTGACCCCTGGACATATTATTCGGTTGTATCTGATCTGTATTGTTACTGTTTATGCAGTAAAGTTAAGGCAATCTGACGAATTAGGTAGAAGTTAATTATAATTAGGTAGGCATATAACCTAATTATAACAAAGGCCAGCGTTACCCGAAAAGGCTAATATTCATCTATTGTCCGTAGCAAGATTTTAAAAAGCCTAAAATTAGTTAGGTCATATATCCTAAAATTCATGGCACACAATTGACTAATACTGTACACATCCACCAACCAAACAATGTCACAACATATTACAGAGTAGTTAACAAAAATCCATACTAAATAAGATAAGAAAAAAACAGACAACAGCAGCAGAGAAGGGCAGCTAGCATAATGTTAATATGTTTGATTGTTAACAAAGCATTAACTGTTTTTCTTTGTCATATATTATACTAGACTGAATACTGTATATTTGGATATTAGAATATTTGTCAGACAAGACAAGCAATTTGAACGTGTCATCTATGCTGCTCCCATAACCAGAATTAGGCACAGAAGTGAGGTATTGCCTTATGTAAGCTTACTTTTTACGACTTTACCTTTATGTGGCATTTCTTCCCCCACAGCTGATATTTGAGAAGGAAGGGGTGTACCTCCACACAAATGCCAAGAGAAGTAACCAGGACACCACCATCCCAGGGTTTATCCGTATTGTGGAGCGGGTAAGTCAATATGTCTGAGTCAAGCCTGGTACAAAGAGAGAAATCAGGAAAGCACTGGAATTAGTAACCATGTCTTTGTTTTAGGCTGGGGTGCCAGCTCTAGAGTGGAGCCCACTGGAGGATGAGGGTCGCAATGCCCCTGCTGTACTGTACTCCAAAAAGGTGAGTAACCACGTGTTTGCTACACATGAAAGGGACAAAATATATTAGGGAGTATATTTCTGACTCAAATTTAATTACCATCAATTATTTTTTTAATAATTAGGATGGAGAAGGGGGAGAGGAGGATACAAACTTTGACCCTGGTTATGAGCCAGACTGGGCAGTTATCAGCACCGTGAAAAAAGATCGAGAACATGTCCCAGTCAAAGAGTCAGGTACAGTTTACACTTCTTTCACTTCTGTCATGTTAAGAAAGCGTACAACTAAATATCCCTTATTTCACCTGCAGGTCAGTGGTCGTTCTCTCTGCCTCTCTCAGAGCTGTACTCTCTTCGGAGGGCCCGGTTCTCTTTGGGTCGAAACTTTCTAGTGTTGACTAGTAGAGGGGGGCACCCATTGCCTCCTCTGCACTTCCACAGAGGAGGAACCAGAGAACTTCTTAGGGCTCTGCATCGTTACATCATCCTGGACCAGTAAGTATTTTTACTGTATGCCCCAGCGGCAGTTAGTGTGTTAGAATTCATCTCAGCTCTTTAAACAGCTGATGTATAGTTTCAGAGTTGCTTACATCTTTGTTGACACATCACATGAGTGGAAAAAATATCACATGGCTCCTGTTGTTATCATCAGGTCACCAGTTGACGGGCGGCTGTTTCTTGCCTACCCGCATGACTCAGGTGCTCTGTCTCAGTCCTTTGATAAGCTGCAGCTCCTTGATGACGGAGGCTCGGATCTTGTCTCGGTAAATTATTATTTATTTACTTTTTTTTATCTGTATTTAAAAAAGGAAACAAGAGAAGGTAGAATATGATATGTCTAAAGGGACAAAAATGTTGTCAATATAAGGTTATACATAATGATAATAAACTGCATGATAGCACACATTGATCATAAAATAATTCTGGGTTCATAAGCTTGTTGATCAATACTGATTAACTGGTCAAAGTCACGCTCCAGCCCATCCTTTGTTTAAACATTTACAGCTTAATCATTGAAGATCCCAACCTCCCCTCACATTCGCATTATAAAGCATGGCCAGTGTCACAGCACATGACAGAAATGTCTCTCTGTCAAGTCAAAAACACAGTGGAAGTAGATGAACTCCGTCAAGATTGCTGCAATTCCCATTAAAAGTAAAACACCTCTGCTTCTCTTCCTCTTTGTAATTCTGGTTTCTTTTTCGAACAGAGATTCATCCAGGACCCCTATGCCACTACATTCGGTGGATTCTCCAAAGTCACAAATTTCTTCAGAGCGGCCATACGGCCTCCAGATTCCTCCATCCACTCGCGCACATCTCAGGATCCTAATTTGCCCCCCCAGTCTGATGAAGAACCTGGATTTGAACTCATCACCTGTGTAAGAGAAAGACACTAAAAGAACTATTTAACTATTTAAGGTAGAAATCAGTGTATAATGCATAGAGATTACAGATGGTTAAACAGGTAAAAAGAGGCATAAGAATCAGAGCATTAATTAGTTGTTTATGTTTATTTATGTCTTTCCATCAAGGGGGTAGAGCTTGGTCCCAGACCAGATGTAACTAGGGGACAACCTCTGGACAAGTGGGAGGAGTTTCTGGACCCTGAGGGGCGCGTGAAGAACCCAGAAAAAATCAAAGAGTTCGTGTTCAGAGGGGTAAGACTATAAATACAGTGACAGTATATTTATCTCTAGTCTGGAAGAAACTTCCTTTTTATGTCCTTTAACCAGATTCACATTTTTTGATGCCATTCCTGTCTCTTCCAGGGCATTGTGCCATCACTAAGGAAGGAGGTTTGGAAGTTCCTCCTGGGCTTTTACCCATGGAACAGTACTGCTAAAGAGCGGGAGAACATTCTGCGGGTCAAAACGTTAGTGTTTTCATTACTTAGTGTCTTTTTGATGGTTTGACATTTTAGAAAGTACTTCTATTTTTAGATTGGCACATTTTCCCAAAATGTCCGACTGTTCCTCCAAGTTAGTGAAACCACTTTAATGCCCCTCTGTGTCTGCAGGGATGAGTATTTCAGAATGAAGGTGCAGTGGAAGTCGGTCAGTGAAGAGCAGGAGATGAGGAACTCTCTCCTCAGAGGCTACAGAAGCCTGATAGGTCAGCTCTGCAATCTGTCAAAAAAACAGAAAATCTGTTCATCACTGAATCCATCAGCTGCCAGAGAGAGCTGCGACTGACGCTCAAGTTGAACTGTCTTTGTTCTTTTGTGACAGAGAGAGATGTCAGCAGGACAGACAGACACAATACGTTCTTCTCTGGGAACGACAATCCAGGACTGACTCTGCTTCATGATGTGCTGATGACGTACTGCATGTACAACTTTGATCTCGGTATGTTTTTTTGTTTTTGTTTTTTAATAAATTGCTGGCAAACAGAGGTACACTACAGCTACATCTTCAGTGTCAGACCGAAGTGCTTTATTGGTTAGACTGGTCTGTATGAGAACGAAGTCTTAACAATTCACCATGCATGCCATTTAGCACTGAAGAGCCAGACAAGAAGAGATCTGATGACAAACTCTGTACTGGTCATTGCTTAATAATTCTTAAAAAAACATAATGAGTGCCAGTGAGAAGCAGAAGCCAGAGTGTACAGCCTTCAATGGTCAAACATAACTTAGGATGATTAGAAGATGATTAGCAAATATAGAACAGAACAAGAAAATAATCTTTATATGAATTTTCACTCATGCATGATGCATTGTATAATAATAGTGTTGTTAAAGTTTATTTATATTGCATTTATCAAAGCTGGAGATTTGAAAGTGCTTTATGAGAAATAAAGAAGAATGTATTTCCTATGTAAGTACATAGAGCAACCTGCAGACTGTGGCTCCAACTTAGTTATTGTCATCATCAGTTAAAGTGTCAGCTATTTTCATGATTAATCATTAGTATGTTGAATGTCAAAAAATACATCCCAGCAAGAAAGGTGACATCCTCAAATGTTTTGATTTGTGTGACCAACATCTAAAATCAAAAGATATTCAAGCTGCAATGATAAATGACAATAAGCACAGATAATTCTTACATTTGAGAGGCTGCAACAAGAGACTGTTTGGCATTTTTTCACTGTCTTTGCTTGAAAAAGGATGATTAATCAATTATTGAAATAGTTGCTGTTTATTTGTCTGTTGATCATCTAATCAACTGCAGGCACACACAAGTGGATAAATAGACACACAAATAAATAGACAAATTTACCCAATTTAAAAAAGGGTAAAAAAAAAAAAAGTGCTTCTGCTAAAATAAAGTGATTTAAAATAGGTAATGACGGAGCATCAGTTCATCAGGCAGGTTGCTCCAGAGCTGAGGTTCCCTGACAGCAAAAGCGTGATCTCCTTTAGTCTTACACATTAACATTGGAACAGGTTCCTATCGGACAACCTCAGACTGTGTGGAGGCAGTGCACAGTAATTCAGAGATGTAGTCTGAGGCCAGGCCACGCAGTGCTTTAAATACACACATAGACAATATGTTGCACTAAAGACCTGTGATCTATGATATGATTTGCTTATCTCAAGAACCGTGTCCCTCTGAAACCTCTATTTGTTTCCTCTTCCATCCCTCAAGGCTATGTGCAGGGGATGAGCGATCTCCTTTCTCCGCTCCTGTTCATCACCCAGAACGAGGTGGAGTCCTTCTGGTGTCTGACGGGCTTCATGGAGCTGCTGGTTAGTAGAAATGTAGAAATGTCTCTCTGTCTCAGGAATTTTGGTTGTCCCTTTACTTATGTCCGTCAGAGGAGATTCTTACCTGTACAGCTGTGTTACTTTAACCTTATTGTTTGTGTGTCAGTGATGACTTGATCAGCAGTTCAAGTTGAAATTAAAACAGAAAGCACACATTGTTACTGCGGTTTGGATCTCTTTCAGGTTTCACACTCAGTGGCTCATATAAATAGCAGTATATTTTGAAAAGTTAAGACATTTGATCCATTTGACCATTACAGTCTTACTGGTGACTAACAGACCGCTGCTGTTTTCCTCTCTGCAGCACCAGAACTTTGAAGAGTCTCAGGAGGCCATGAAGCAGCAGCTCCTTCAGCTCAGTATTCTGCTGAAGGCTCTGGACCCGGAGCTGTGTGACTTCCTGGGTTAGTCAGCTAATATTCATCCACTCAGACTGGATTCGACTAAAATAAACCCTAACTAGCCCTGAGGCACAGCTGGGTGCTTGTAGCAAAAGTCATAAGGATAATGCAGAGAAAAGTAGGGCAGAAACAAGAATAAAGCAAACGAGAGGCTGTTCTACATAATGCAACCTCTGGATTATACATTACAATCTATTAGTTATGTAGAAAAGTATCTGCTGATGGGGTGCACACCAGGTAGACATGCATGACAATGTATGCTAAATGAGAGAAAGAGACTAACTCATGCATTTGAAGTTAGGAATACATGGCAGTAAAAAATGTGTGTAACTCTTGATGTTACTCATTTGCAAGGAGCTCATTCTTCTTTTGTTTCTAATTTGGAAAAAAAAAAAAAAAAATTTTGTCTGTCAGACTCTCAGGACAGCGGCTCACTTTGCTTCTGTTTCCGCTGGTTGCTCATCTGGTTCAAGAGAGAGTTTCCCTTCGAGGACATCCTCATTCTGTGGGAGGTGAGTGCACAAAAGCTGCTTGTGCTAATATACATGAGTATTTTTATAATGCTAAAACAACTAAAGCACAGTCAGTGAGAGAAACAGTCAGGCTCACTTCACTACTTTAAACCTGGATGATGTTAAACTTCATATTAGCCTATGACGAATAACATAATTTCATGTTAAAAATATGACATTTATTCAGATGTATTCTTGATTTAAAAAAAAAAAAAAAAAAAAAGTAAATATTATTGCAACTCTTTTTAAATACACGTGAACATCTACACATAATGCCGATCAGCACCGGTCTGTGGTGACATTTCTGTTCTGTAGTGACATGTTTTACATCAACCAGAGTTTGCCAGAGCTGAAGAGGGTGTTCTGTTGTCTATATATAATTATAAACATATCTGGAGGCTCAGTTAAGCACCAGTCAGACACCTGCATTATTTCTCAGATTAAGTGTCCCCCGAGCAGCACAGTGCAACAAGCTAAAAGTTCCTAGATGAAATATGTGGGTAGGAACCTTCAGCATGTTGCACTGTGTCGCTCGGGGGACACTTCAAAAGTCCCGGAAACAGTGTGCAACCGTCTGTTGGGTGCTTGTGTTGAGCCTCCAGATATGTTTATGTACATAAAGACAACAGAGCATGATGTTAGAGAGAGCAACCATTGAGACGGAGACAGAGGAGGCTACACCAACTAGGAGCCTATGATGGAAAAAACCCAGGAAGTGTCCAAGAAAGGTTTCTGACGCTCCAGATGAAAAAGAAACTCTGTGTTCAGACCAAGGGTTAAGTTCTAAGAAAGAATGATCGGTGGTGAGGGCAAACATGGACTCCCATTGGTGTGGCTTTCTCTTGTTGGAGAGCTCTGAAAGAAGATCCTGGAACTGTGGAAAGTTCTGTTTTCAACAGTGTTTGTGTAATTACTCTCACTGCCAGAGGGGGGAGATAAAAGTTCCACCCTGTGGGTTTAAATGCAACATGTCTGAGGAAAAATCTAATTTGCTCTGGAAACATACAGTACTGTCGTGTACGTGATAGTATGTAACAGTGTATGTTATATAGCAGAATGAGTTTACAACAGCAGTTGTTTTGTAACAACCTGTTTTCTTCCTCAGGTCCTGTGGACTCGTCTTCCATGTGACAACTTCCACCTGCTGATCGCCTGCTCGATCCTTCAGTCCCAGAGAGGAGAGCTGATTGGCTCAGACCACGACTTCAACACTATTCTGAAGGTGCGTGCTGCTCGTGTGTTATATCATGACTACCTTTGTCTGTCAACAAACACATTTTCATCGGTGGAATCATTTCTTTACTGTGACTGATCTGCAGCACATTAACGAGTTGACGATGAAGTTGGACCTGCAGAGCGTTCTACGCGGAGCAGAGGCAATCTACCTGCAGCTGATTCAGTGCAAGGTAACGAGTGCTTCATGTGTTGATGGACACCTTGAAAATCTAGACCAGTGATTTCTGACTCCACGAGGGATCAAAACATAAATCTGACACGAGAGCCACAACCATAAGAAAGAAATGGATTTCTGTTGTGCCAAATTCTGTTGACTTCTTCTAACATATCTCTAATATTTTTTTTTCATGTGTCTGTGTATGTATGTGCATTATTTCCTTATTTGTTATGCATGGTATGTTTTTTGTTTTTGTTTTTTTAATTCTGGAAAATGTTAATGGGAAATTGCATTTTGTGTCTTTCTAAAAGGTATAACTGATGTTTCATATTTAGATTTTATGCATCTACTCAATAATAATCAGTCACATCTATATGAATATCTGTGATTGGCTCAATTCTTCTTTAGTGCTGTTATACCTATTTTTCTGGATTCATCCATTTGTTATTGCAGTGACTAAAATCCAATCCAGGGTTTGTAGTTTTTTCCCACTTAATAATCCTCTAGCAGTGATCATTTTAATATTCATAGACCCTTTAAGAGTTTTTATTTTTTGCATATTTTCTAGTGTTTTATAAGTAGATCAGCTGCACTTCAGACATTAAGTCAGGAAAAATGAGGGAGATTTATAAATGCATCGCTTTATAGGAATATAGAAAAATGTGTTTCTGTGTATATTTTTCCACATAGTTAAACCAACTACAAACAATGCTAACATAAAAAAGATCTAACAACCTCTCCTACCTTCTTCTTCCCCCCTCTTCACTCCCCCTCCTCCTCTGCCCTCCCCAGGAGCTCCCCCTCAAGGTGCAGCAGGTTCTGGGTCTCTACGTCCCCTCCAGCTCTGAGGAGGCCAGCCCTGACTCCCAGGCCAGCGAGACGCAGCGCCTCCTCAGCCAATCCCAGGCCGGAGCTGCCTCCTCTTATGCAGCGTGTGGTTCGTCTTATCCTTAAATCTGTGGGTCAGCCGGTGGACTGACACTCAGTGAGAGATGTGTGGAAGATATTTGTATATGAAAATATATATATACTGATACTGACTGTATGTGATCCTATATGAAGGGATGAAGACTGTTTGGTGAAGACTTTGTTACTAAAGTGTCAGAGGCAGGGGGCGCTGTTGAAGTATTTTTCTTTTAATGTACCCATGAATGTTACAATCCAACATGTTTAAACACTATAGCTGTAATTGCAGTGCTTTTTCTTTATCATTGTTGTCCTCTTCCTTCTCCATGACAGCTTGTCGCTTGTTTACATGTCCTCTGTCTCTGCCGTCCTCTCTACTCTCCATCGTCCTTTTGATGCTGCTGTTTTACCTTTTCACAAGTTATTTTATAAGTGTTTTCATCTCTGCTTTGTCACTTTTGTCTCAGTGTACTCTCAGAGTATTATGTTGAGTTCGATTTAGATTTCCCTGCCGTCCCCTCACCACTGTTGTTCCCTGAAAAGGGAAGAAGATGAAAGATAAACTCACTGGCAGCACCGTGTTAGTACTGTACGATGCCATTCCAGTCCTATGCAAAGTTTTTGCATGCCTTATAGTTTTCACATGCGGTGTGGTAATATTTAAAGCCTTGTAATTATATGTATAATGTCATACCATTTTCATCTGCTGATTATTACCAAATAAATGGTTGCATCTTAACGAAGCAGAGTATTCAAACACATTCTTTTCCTTATTTTCTTTTTACTTACCAGTCTGTCTCTCTCAGGTCTGTTCACAGCCAGGACTTTGAGATTTTGTGTTAATAAAAAAAACATATGATAAACATGAAATAAAATTCCAAACCTTTTTGTCTTGTGGCCCTGCACAAATGCATGGTTTTCATTTGAATATTTGTCTGAGGCCCAAACAGGAAAAATTATCCAATATTTTACAAAAAAAAAGCAAAGATTAGAGAAACGCCTAAAGAATAAATACATATGTAGCAATGTTTTTATTTTTTTCTTCTTCTTTCCTGTCTAATTGATAATGTCGCGACCCCTCAGATTTATGTTGTGACCCTTTGGAGGGACCAGACCCCTAGGCTGGGAACCTCTAGAGCAAATTACCTAACTGTATATAAAGAATAAGTACTAGTACTAAAGTACTAAAAAATATTTTGCTGATAATACTTTTGTATTTTTATGTATTTTTACTTAAGTAAACCTTGTGAATACAGGAATTTAGCTTTCTCACATCATTGTATAAGTACTTTTACGAGATGAGAGTGAAGGATCAGTACCATATGTTCTGTGTGTCAAACCTTAGTCTGTAAAATAACTGTTAACTTAAGTTGAAAAGCAAATGTAGTGAATTAAAAAGTTTGTATTTCCCTCTGAAATGTAGTAGAGTAACAACAATAGAGAGGAAATACTCAGGTTAAGGACAAATTCCTCAAAACATTGGATCTGGCTTGTGTGATAAAAATTTAATATGATTAAAAGCTAAAGTGTGAATAACTGTTCATAAGACACTGATAAAAACTTTTGGGATCAAACTTATAAATAATAATTACTCCAGTGTAACAGTAACAGCGCTTTGTTTACGTGGTGTCTTAACTTGTGAACTGGTTAAACTTTGCCCTCTCCCCTCTCCTCCCCCTCCGGCCAGCAGGTGTCTGTGCGAGGTGAATGGCTGAGGGGAAAATAGGACCTCTGTTCTCCACTGTCCCGGGAAATGAGCTGGAAAATGAGGGGCGGGCGAGACACACCTCCTTCTCAGGACCCGCTGCACTCTTCTTTTGGCTGGTTGCTGTCTCTTTCCCCCTCGATCCATGTTGTTTGAATACAGCTGCGACGTATGAATTTAGCAGGGAGGTTAAACAGGCCCACGATCTGTCACTCTCTTTTTCTCAATGCCCCCCCCCCCCCCCCCCCTCTCCATCCACACCATCCTGACCTCACTTGACTGGCAGAGCCAAACTTACTCAGTCCTTCATTCAAACTCAATCTGCTTTCAGCCCCTCTCAAAGCCTGTTTTATGGGCAAAGGCCTTGTCAACAGCTTTAAACCCCATATTCTCTCACTCAGGCTACAATCGACCAAGTGTTGCAGGATTATGGGCTCTTCATCTTGTCATTATGCTGAGTGTCTTAGAAAAGCTCTTATCTGCAGTAGATGATGTGGCTGTGCATCTACTCTCTGCGCTTGATGTTTCAGTCACGGGGTATGACTTCACTCTGGCCGTGTATTTATGATCATTTTACAGATTTCAGTACGATTAGGCTTATTGTCACTTATGTTTCATGCTCTCTTTTATTTCATTTAAATGTAGTTCATCCTGTTTTTAATTGAGGTTTTTTAATTATTATAATTCACATGAATTTTCTCTTTATTTCCATCTAGAGTATATCACTGGAATTGTTTTTATCTGCTGTATCACACAATCCAAACAATGTATTGCCATCCAGTTTGAAGCTTGAGTTTTGAAAAGTGCTCTATAGAGCTCTATAACATTATAATTATTGTATAATTATTGTATAATCCAATATTATAATATATAACAGTATAACACTATTTTTCTTTTCTTTCAGTTCTTATACAGAGTTAACCTTATAATCTGGATACACTTTGCTGGTACTTATTTATTTTAGTAAAGTGACATTTTCAATGCTGGATTTCAAGTAAATTATGTTGCAGTTTTGCTACTTTTATTTTTAAAAGGTCTGAATCCTTCCTTCCACCACAGAATGTGACAAAATATGAAAGAATCAGTTCTATAAAATGATGCCTGTTTGAGTTAAAGCAAAGTAACTTGAATTAAATTCATTGCTTTCTCTCTATTGAATATAGTATAGTTCCTAAACATGTTCTGATTGAGCCCATGAAGTTTATTTGTCACGGAAGAGTTTAAGTTACTTTTATGTTTCATACATGACTGTGAATCTACTGTTAGTTGTAGTCAGTAAAAACGATCATCACCTCCATGATGAATAGAGTATGAATTATTGATGCTCAGCTGAAATCAAGTCATGGTGATCGTGGTGTGGTCGTCCATTTAACTCCTATTACTCCACTGTTTGAAACACGAGCTGCCATTGAAGCCTTAATGTGTGAAAAGCCACCTGTAATGACTGTGTCAAATACAATCTGTATTCTCCACTGGTGAGTGCGACCCCATTGTGACCGTCAGAGGAGTCCCCGGGGAGTGTGTGAAAAGTGTGTCTACCCCATGAATGTGTGAAGTGTGTGTGTGTGTGTGTGTGTGTGTGTGTATGAGGAGCCAGCAGCAGGCAGAAGGCCAGGGGCTGTTGTCTGACACTGATTTGTAAAGGGAGACAATACGGCTCATTGACCTGCCCGGCTCCACTGTCTGTTGCACATACCTCGCCCAGCCCTCCCCGGTGGCTCCTCTGCTCTTTAAACACGAGCAGCAGATTGCCACAGGCGCAGGGAGGGGAGGCCGACGGGACACAGGTTGCTTTGACAATGAGAGTCCTCCGAGAAGAGAGAGAGAGAGAGAGAGAGAGAGAGAGAGAGGGAGAGAGAGAAGAGGCTCAGGGCCAAAACTTTGATGAGCACATTTAAAAAGAGAAAAGAAAATGATAAAAAAAAAAAACCTCACTTTAACAACATTTTCTTCTCTCTCTGACTGACTGTTATGTGAAGTATAAGATTAAAGCTGCAACATTCACTGTTTTCACCCAAATGTTCCTCCAGTCAGACTCAAACAGTTCTAACAGAATAAAATCTGGTTGCATCCTTCATCACAAGTGGCTTGATGACAAACTAAAGAGTGTGGCTGCAAATAAGGATTATTTTATTAATCAATCAACTTTCAAATCACTTTCTTGATTAGTTTATTAATTGGTTTATTTATATTTACACTCTCTGCATCCAGCACTTTCTTCTTTTGTTGTTTGGTTTATGCAAAGTCAGAATAAAGTGAAATAATTCTAATAATTGTTGCTTGAAAATTTGTTTTTAGAGTTAATCAATGATAAGAATTGAATTATTCTTCTTAACAAATTTGATTTTTAAGTTTAATCGTGGTAATTTGGCCTGAAAAGGTCAAATTATCAGTAACTCAGGAAAAAAGCAAAAGATTGGAGAAATGTCTGCAATAAATAAAACATATATATATATATACTGTATATATGTATACAGTATATATGTATATGGAGGATTTAGGGATTTAGCATGTATCCTGTGTTTGGCGTGTTTCCTGCGCTCCTCACGTTGTAAACAAACACCCTCATCCTTTTGTCATCCCATTCCCATTGTCAGAGTCTGGAGGTGACCTTTTCTCTCCTCTCACCCCTCGCAGCCTTTTCTTTTCCTCCCTTCTCTCTTTCACTGTCGAAGACAAGCTGTTGCTCTGTCCCTGCGGGCCACTCCCTCTCTTGTCTGCTCCTCTTTCCTCCTCCCCTGCCTCCCTCTCTCCCCTTGCTCTCCTTCGTTCTCCCTCTCCCCACCTGTTGGAGCGATTGTTGCACACACCGTATTGTTGTCTTCTTATTATTTTATGTCACTCACGAGGGTCCCCACCCCCTTTCTACGGCTTTTTTTCCTTCCCCTCTCAGCCACTCCCTCTCCCTCTCTCACCCCGCTGGGTATAAAACTCAGTGGAGGCAGCTGAGGGGTGATATTCAGTGGAGCACCACAGGAAGACAAAGTTTCAACAAGGACACGGGAGGATCTGCTTCTGTCCACCTGCACAGCTCCTCAAGTGACAGAAGGACGGTCGCTGCTGTGTTTCTTTCCCACTTGGACATAAACAGGTTCATATTTTACCCATCAGGCTGTGCAGATGGACAGAGGCATGTCTGTGTCTCTGTGGTGCGAGGAGGTGGAGGACGACCGGGGTCAGGGTCAGAACGATGCTCCAGCGCAGGGTCACATCAGGGGCTCGTCTCAGCTGCGAGCCGCCTGGGACCCCACTGTGTCGGAGCATCGTGTGATCCAGAGGCTGCTTCACGTGGAGGAGAGGTACATGCCCTCCATGCTCTACATCACCCTCATCCAGCGGGATCCAGAGCGCAGGGAGGAGCTCACCAAATGGGCCCTGGAGGTATGAAACTCTCTCACGCTCTAGTTTCCTAATTCTCCTCATGATGCTGGATGAGTCGTGTCATCGTGGCAGCTGTGATACCAGAGTCCTCTGTCTTTTCTCTCCAGGTGTGCTGTGAGTGCGGCTGTGACGAGGCAGTGTTTCCTCTGTCTGTCTCTCTGATGGACAGGTTCCTGTCTGCCTCTCTGTCTATACCTGTTTCACCGTACTGCCTGGCGGCCAGCTGCATCCTCATCGCCTCCAAACTCACAGAGTGTGACAACGTCACTGCTGACACTCTCTGTGCAGCAGCTGAGTACAGCTTCCAGTCTTCCAACCTGCGGGTGAGTCCATCACTTATTAGTCATTTTAGAGACTTCAATCAATACAATCAAGGCTGTAGTGATGGATAAGGAACAACGACGACACACTTAAATACTGTAACTCTGGCCCCACTTAGTTAAAACAAAGTAAGTGGAGTTTTTGGGGGTCATTTCCAGCTGTGGGCCCCAAATATTATCACCAACAATAATCACACTGCAATAACACTGTGTTGAGTGTTACATGACTGGACAGTCATAGAATTGCAAATTGGGAAACACAAACTCAGATGCCCATCACTGGTTACCAGAGCCCAAAATGATGCACATGGACAATGCAATTAGAGCTGCAACCAACAATTATAATCATGATCGATTCATCTTCTGATCATTTTTTAGATTAATCTCTTGATGGGTTTGCAAAGATAGTGACAAATAGTGAAAAGGGCCCATCAGTGTTTGTTTCAGTCAGAAGACTATCGCTGAACTGAAATGCAGCCTTTAAGACCAAGAGAGGACATTTAATCTCATAATATTCTGACAAACAATAACTATTCTTATAATATCATACAACTCCACCCTTCCTAACTCTTACACGCACCTCTTCCCTCCATCAGGAAATGGAGCGTGTCATCCTCGCCACCCTCCGATGGGACACTGCAGCAGTGACCCCTCAGGACTTCCTCCCACATTTTCTTGCCTCCGTGGAGCAGAGAGGAGAGGAAGACGGTGGTGAGTCTGAGGAGGGGCGGCTGTCCACCCTGCGGCGGCACAGCGACACTCTGGCTGCCATGTGTGCCTGTGACTCCCGGTTTCTGGGAGCACCACCGTCACTTGTTGCTGCAGCATCACTGAACTGTGCACTGCGAGGTCTGGGCAACAAGGGGCCCTATCAGCTGGCTCTTATGAGTGAAGCACTGGCAGAGTTGTGCCAGAGTGACCTGGTGAGTGTATTCAGAGGGGAGTGTGAGGCTGATTTGGAATGGGAGTTGCAAGAATAAAGTAAAACACAAGTTTTGAGGGACCTGTGTGTTTCATAGTCATGCCAAATGCAGGAAGAGATTTGCATCTATGACAAAATCCACTCATTTTCTCTGTCTTGCTTCCGCAGGCAGTGCTGCAGTGCTACAGCGAGATGATTGAATACACCCTCCGCCAGCGGCTGAGGAGTGGACTCCAGCAGGGCCCCATGGAGAAAGATGAGGAGGTGGAGAATGAAAGGGCCGGGACCCCCACTGACATGAGAGAGATTGATTTCTAAACACTGTGTTGCATAGAAAGTGTAAATCAATCAAAACCCCTCCAGTTCATCAGTCAAACTGATATAAATTGAAAATGACCTCAACATGCTGTGACATGGTTTTATATATTTTGAAATTATTAATTATTATTGAGTGATTGCTAATTTATTTTTTACTTTATTTATTTCTGAGCAATTTTGCAACTATGTGTTTTCCATGTGCCATATTTTATTATCTATTTCTATTAATTTTATTGTAGGACTAGATGTTATTTTGATGCATAATATTTATACTTTTAATTTATTATCACGTGCAATTGTTGACTCTTTTGATGTTAATTTATTTCAATATGCCATGACTTTGTGTTTTTAAGTACTGAATTAAATATACAACAAATATATTTTTCAAACAATTAAAAAGTTTTGTACATAGTTTGTGGTCATCTGTTATTTACCAATGGTACAATGATGCCTTCACGTGTTATTCATAGGTACGTACTTCAGAGCTCTTTAGGTTTGTTGCAATTCATCTGCCTGTAGTGTATAACCATGGATGATACATCCATGTGTACAATATAAAAAACCCCTTCTGGAGATTCACACAAGAGGAGATTTTGATGGCTGCTTTTACTTAACTATATATTTTTTATAATCACTGTTTTGAGAATATTTTTGCATTAACAACACAAGACACCAAAAAAAAACTGGCCAAAAAAATATTTGATATTGAAATAACTTAATAATTTTCAATTTTTTCATCATGAGCAGACATTACTTTCACTGTCACAGCTCAATAATGCAATGTTAATCCTAATATCTTTATTCATGAAGAATACAATAATGTTTTTATTATTTCGGACGTCCCTGAATGCTGCATGGTGGTCCTGCTTCATGACGTCATTTTTCTACGACAGAGAGTACAGGTCGTGCTTTGAGCATTGGATCAGAAATTAAAAACACATCTGCGGTAAGCGATGACCTACTTAAAGGCGTTTTTCTGTTAAGGGAAATGTAAATTATGGGTTTCATACCAGCAGTTTAAATGAAGAATTCACAAAAAAATCGTAAGATATAAACGGGACAACGCACGAAGAATTGTGCCAGATTTTTTTCCCCATAGCTTGCGGCTGCTGTAAGGGAACATTAGCACCTGTGAAATTACCTGTAAAATTGCGTTTAAAGAAATAATAGTGTTTAGAATCTTGTAAAAATCAAACGTCAATGCACACATACCAAACATTTAATCTCACGGGTGAGTACAGCCACAGAAACATCAGATTTTGTCTTGAATCCCAATCTCTCGAACCCCTTATCCGCATCCGGTTGTCCTTTCTTAAGCTAGTTAGCCAACTAGCTACAAACACGAACGTTGCTATAAAAACGAGTGTCCCATTGAAACAGTGTTTTATATTTAATGAACTAACACTTCTGGCTTCCTTCACTGAATTTATCATTTTATTTCAACGCGCAATAGACGTTTCCCTGCTCAAAGTTGATCCTTGCGCCAAATTCCATTTGTAGAATCTAATGTTATCAATGCTTAATATCGGTGAATAGACACACGTCCAGAAAGTTTTAATCTTTAGATGAATGACAAATCTCTTAAGTCCCCTGGTAAATTCGGCATATAATGTTCACACCAGACACCAGCCATTCACGCTAAATTTGATTGGCTCAAGCTGAGATCCTGTTATCAGTGGGTACGTTTACACCCACTAGGTACACAGAGTTATCCAGGTTATGATTGGGGATTTGTCTGGTATTGATATTCATGCCAAGGTTTGCTTTGGACTTGTGACTGTAGACAAATATGATGATGAATAATATTTAAGTGAAAGTCTGGCACTGTTGATATGGAGGATACATTGAGCATCTTTTGTTACCGTTACTGGTGAAAACATGTAAACATCCAATTCAGCAGAGTTCAAATGCAGCATTGTTCAGGCAAAGATAAACTGATGCTCACACATCCTTAACTTCTCTGTTACAAGCCTGTAGGGTCTGAAGACAATGACCACAAACCTAGATAGAGGTATAGTCGGATTTCTCTGTTTTTAAGGCCAAGCTAATTAAAAAAATGGTACTTAAATAAGATAAAATAGAATAAAACAGACTGAGATTCAATGAAAATATAAAAAGCTGAATAAGATTAATATGAGCATGTGTAGTCTTTGAATAGGCATGATGGATTTCTGTAATAAAGATTTCACTAAAAAGAAATTGGGGAGAGAAGAAGATGAATCTGGATTATTTTTGAATGAGGTTTGGCTCACAACACATTCCAGTAAATACTGGTGTCATCCGCTATGTAGGAGAACCGACGCTCTACCAGACATTCATCTTGGCTAGTTTTTTTTTTTTTTCCCTCACCTCTGCCTTCGTTGTTTATTTTGCAGGAGGATGAAACTGAAACCTGGCTGGCTGCTGCTTCTCTCCATCTCTGCTGGGGTTTGGTCAGTACCCATTGATCGCAATGGAGGCAACCAAGAAGCTAAAGAGGAAGTACCGGAGGAGAATGCGGTAACGTTCTCTACAACCTCTTGATTTTTTTTGTTTTCTTTTCCAGTTTGACATAATGAGGTTTAGCTGAGATTCATTTTGGTGTGAGTAACGTGTCCTTTACAACACACTGTTGCAGGATACTGGCTTGTACTACGACAGGTATCTCAGAGAGGTGATCGAGGTTTTGGAGACAGACCCTCACTTCAGAGAGAAACTGCAGACAGCAAACACGGAGGACATTAAGGTGAGCATTCATCTCTTGCTGTTTCTATCTTAATTCTCACCCACTAAGCTTCTTTGTTTACCTTTTACAGGTACCAAGAGCATCTGACATTTGATTTGTTCTCCTCACCTGGGTGTATTGTGTTCTCCGTCAGAACGGTCGTCTCAGTAAAGAACTGGACCTGGTCAGTCACCACGTCCGGACTCGCTTGGATGAGCTGAAGCGGCAGGAGGTTTCTCGTCTCAGGATGCTGCTGAAGGCCAAACTGGACAGCACCAACACACAGAGTGAGTGAACTGTGTGTTCCGATCGGATCAGATTTACATGTAATTAATGATCCCTGGATAAAAATTGTGTTGCTAAGCAAAAGAGACTTTTGTAAAGTATTATTTTTTTATTAGCAGCTTAATCTTTTACTATATTATATATATACTGTATATATATATACATATATAGTGCACATTTTAGATTATGCAAGTGGGAAAAACAATCAAATACTTACTTTTTTCTTTAAAAGCTATGAAAATGGTGGCATCATGTTTATAAAATACAGTATGGTCAAATCTTGTAGCTGTTCCTTGTTTTTGCTGAGTCAGTGAAAACAAACAGATGAACAGTGTTGTCATTTTCAGTTCATGTGGATACTGGTCGTAATTTTTATAAGCAGAGCAGATGGAAGAAGCAAATGTAAAGATGAATGTCCAGAGAGTTAAGATGTTAATCGTTAGCTGAGATGAGCTCAGCCGTCATACAGAGGTGTTTTCAAGTGTATGTACAGAACATAAAGGAAGTCATGTCCAGCCTGGGGTTGGTAATTCATGTATCTTCTGTGCAGGTCTGCAGATGGACCACGCCTCCCTGCTGAAGCAGTTTGAACATCTGGATCCACACAATCAAAACACATTTGAGGCCAAAGACCTTGAACTGCTGATCTCGACAGTAAGATCCTCCAGCGGCGGATTTTTGTTGTCTCCACGTGTGAAGAGCTGATTGATTTATATGTTTTGATCAGATTTCAATGGAACAAGTGATGATTGTCACCACAGTCCAGCAGAATCATATTTATACTGATCAGACTCCAGGGTGTGAAAACACAATGGCAGATCTGTTACTGCAGTCTTGCTTTGTATTAAATCTGACCCACGTTGCCTCAAAGAATTCAAAGATGATTTTTTTTTTTAGGCCACGAAGGACCTGGAGAACTATGACGCCGAGAGACACGAGGAGTTCAAGCGCTACGAGATGCTGAAGGAGCACGAGAGGCGGGAGTACCTGAAGGGCTTGGACCAGGAGAAGAGGGAGAGGGAGGAGAAGAGAATGCAGGAGCTGAAGGAGAAACACCGCCAGCACCCCAAAGTCAACGCTCCGGTGGGCGACACATGCATCCGTGTTTATCATCAGTGGAAACGCGTGGAAGTGAATCAACCTTTCTTACGTGTTCTTCTCTCTTTTCTGCTGCGCTTTGTCGCGTTCAGGGCAGCGTCGCTCAGCTGCGGGAAGTTTGGGAGGAGACGGACGGACTGGATCCACAAGAGTTCAACCCTAAAACCTTCTTCAAACTGCATGGTGAGTAACAGCACTTCCTGTTTAACCCCTGTGTACTGATGAGTACAGTTATCACGACTTCTCTGTCCTGTTTAGATACAAATGAAGATGGTGTTTTAGATGAGCAGGAACTGGAGGCTCTCTTCACTAAGGAGGTAAAAAAAAAAACAAAAAAAAAAACAACCTGCAGCACATCATGGCCGACCCTTAAAATCCCATGACACAGCATCAGAAGTGGATGATCATCAATTTAAAAATACAGCTGTTTGTGTTCAGCTCACCTTCAGAAAATGAAAGTGGTTTGCACAGCGTCCCCACGGCAACTAACATCTGTTCGTTCCCCTCCTGCAGCTGGAGAAGGTCTACGACCCAAAGAATGAGGAAGATGATATGATGGAGATGGAGGAAGAAAGACTGAGAATGAGGGAGCACATCATGAAGAATGTGAGTCTTAGTTATTTACTTTCATCTCCTGCAGTCTTCACCTTGATTTCTCTGCCCGGCTTTGACTGATGTTTCCGTGTTTGAAGGTGGATACAAACAAGGACCGGCTCGTCAGCCTGGAGGAGTTCCTCAAGTCCACCGAGAAGAAGGAGTTCAGTAATCCCAAAGAGTGGGAGGTAAAGAGCCCAGAGGTGGCCTCACAGGTGGGGGAGTGGGTGGGTGGTCAGGCAGCGCTGTGCTGTACTCATGCACTTGGAGCTGCTCCCATGAGTGGCTGCTGTGAAAAGCATCGGTGTAGTGCTTTGTT